TTGCTGTGACCTAGTTGCGTGTGCATGTTTTACTACAAATTACTTGATTTTTAGTATTTATTTGACTTGAATTATCCATATGCTAACTGCTAACAAGCAGTCTTATACAATACCAAGTGAAATTCTTTTCTTAATTAAAAACAAAACAAAACTACAGATTGCATTTTTTTAAGCTGATGGTTAAGGGCTAGTCAGGAGCTCTTTCTATAGATAAATATCTATTGACATTCCACCTACTAATGCGAAAGATGTAATCTTTTCTTTGGCATGTCTTCAATTTTACATAAGTCCAGGAAAAAAATGGAAGCTGTATACAATTGCCTCCTCTGTTAAAGTTCCTTTCAGTTTGGAGAGTTTGGAGATTTCATGTTTCTTCACTTTAATGCACTATTGTTCTACCCCAGTCTTCTAGCAGTGTGAGATTTCAGGGTTCCAGGCATTTACCCAGGGTTTGTGCTTCCTTTGTAATGAATTATAGCATTACATGGTGTCTTTATGATACATGGTTTATTTACACATATATACAACCTGAGCCTACGATGGAGGGTTTCACAGCATTAACACCTCAAGAAGGCCTTGCTTCCCCAACAGCCACAACCTTGAAACCCAAGAGAAAGCAAACATTTTAGGGAAGGGGACCTACCCACTTGCCATCTTGCACAGATCCACTTCTTTGTTCCTCTTAATAGCCCATCACCTAGGTGATCACCTTATAAGGAAGCTAGCCTGGCTTATGTTTTAGACACTTGCTGAATCCAGGAGTTAGAATGAGTTGGCATAAAGCCTGCTCCCCGCCCCCCCAAAAAAAACTTATAACACTATTTATTTCAGAGTTCCCCACCCCCCTGCATAATGTGCAGCAGTACTTGGAAAAGAATGCTAGTTTCACCGGTTATATACAGGTGGTACTTGCAACAAAATATTGCAGTATATCCCCACCTCATTGCAGAAGTTCTCCTGTTCAGGGTTCTTGCCAGCCAGGCATGGTTTCCTCCAGGATACTATAAACTTTAAAGATCTCAAGCATTCCACTCCCTGACTATATGTTATTTTTTATTTTCCAGTTGACACTCAATATTTCATAGCTACTGGGCTTGCTGTGTAGGCTGTTTGGGGGCTTTGTGCCCCCTCAGGATTTTTCAAAGGTTTTTTTGGTACTTCTGCAAACCTTGGGGTTCCTCTGAGCTTTCTGATACCACCCTCTTGATTCCCAGTGGCCCATTGTGGCCATGGTCCTGTTGGCACTAGCTATGTTCACTATTAGAGGGGGTGAAAGCAGCAGGTTCCCAGTGGGTGATTTCTTTGTGATACTGTAGTCACCTGCGGACTGATGGGTGCATAAGGGATTTTGAGAGGTGGGGAGGACAATCCACCTATCAATCATGTGACGTCATAATGATAATAGAATAACAGAATTGCAGAGTCTCAAGAGACCATGAGGGTCATTTTAGTCCAACCCCCTGCAATGCAGGAATCTTTTGCCCAACAACCCTGAGATTAAGAATCTCATTCTCTGCTGCCTGAGCTGTCAGCTATCCCAGGAATAAGATGCCATGTCACCACATGACTGGCCCTCCCCATCTGTCAAATTTGGCCTGCAAGGTTGATCTTGATAAGGATTTGGTCCATGGAGCTGAAAGGGTACCCTACCCTTGTTCCAGCATTACGTTTCTCACCATGACTCAGACACACATTTTGTGCTTTCCTGCAGAGTGAGGAAATTCAACACGTGAAGGAACTGTGAGTGAATGATGCAATCACAAGTGGAAGGAAAGATGCTAATTAGATGGGAAAGGCCCAAACAATTTGCACCACTTGCAAGATCATTGCCATTTATATGGATCTCCCAGTTTTGGGAGATTGCACTATGTGGAAGCATCTCCTTCATATGTGAAGGGTGCTTCAGAAGTAGACCTACTTTCATTTCTATAGGGACCAAGGGCTCAAGCTACGCAGCTGTTAACGGCCAGCCAAAAGTCTGTAGATGGTATTACAGGTCAAGGTTTAGTGTGTTGCATCCTTGAGCAGCTGCTGGGACCCCATTGCCTGGACAGGGCATCCTGCTGCTCTACTCCAGTGTTTCTAAAACTTGGGTCTCCAGCCATTGTTGGACTACAACTCCCATCATCTCTGACCACTGGTCCTGTTAGCTAGAGATGTAGTCCAACAACAGCTGGAGACCCAAGTTTCAGAAACACTGCCACTGCTATAATAACTACTATAAGCTTTCCTGTGTCAGGTGGCTTGGCAGCACCACTTAAATTTCATTGGTGTATTGAGGGACCGTTGAGGGAAATTGTGGCTCCAAGCCACCCAGTGCTGAATACAGTGCTGCTGCTGCTGCTCTCCACTGCTACCACCAGGCAGTCCCCATACAGGTAGGTGTTGGATTGCCTGGTGGCAGCAGGCTTGAAGCTGGGGGACCTAAGGTCAGCCAGCTAGGTCTGCGGAATCTGCTGCATATCATGAAGGTGGGGATAGAGGAGAGGAGGGGTGCTGAGAAAGTTTCATATAACACTTAAAAACCTGTGGAGAGCCTGCTGGATCAGGCCAACGGCCCATCGAGTCCACGTCCTGTTCTCACAGAGACCAACCAAATGCCAATGGGAAGCTTGAAACCAGAACCTGAGCAGAACCGCCACTGGCAGCTTTCTCCTTCAGGAGTTTGTATAATCCTCTTTTAAAGACATCCAAGCTGTCACTGAGATCGAAAAATGTGGTGGAGCCACGAGATGTAGAAGTCTACAGTTGCTTTTTTAAAAAAAGGCCTTCTAGGAAACCTCTGTTGTAATCTTGATTGCTTGTGACACCTCTTTAGCTTATTACTGGTGCAATGTATTTTAGAGGAAGGAAGGAAATATTGCAAAAGGAGAAACAAAAGTATACTTCATGTGCAGTAACGTGACAGATTTCTGGCACTCAACTATTTTTAAGTTGTTTTTAGATTTACATTTGATGTAGCTTCTTTGCTAAAGTGAAATCAGCTTTACTCTCAGAAGATCATAATGCAAACCAGTGGGTAAAAGTAATAAAGGCTTCAGCTTGTGTTCCAAATGGCTGAATACTTATTTGTTGTGCTTATTTGTTACACTTTTAGCCCACCCTTGAGGACCTTTGAGTGGGATTTTATGCTTGCTGTGTTGGTTAGGCGGTGGTGGGGTGGAAAGAGAGAGTATTTGGCCACCCAGTGAGCGTCACATCACAGCTGAGTGGGAATGTGAATTTGGCTTTTCCAAATGCAAGCCCCAACAATTTATCCAGTCTACCACCCTGTCTGTTGAGGTTTCCGGTGTGTTTGGGTGTGTATGTGTTGGTGCTTTAGCAGTCCTTTCCCATTTTGGTGTGTGCAGTTAGAATTCCCCTAAGTGAAAATTAACACTACTTCTAGGGCCACATTAGGACAAAGTAGTCTTGACAACTTTTCATGCATCCCCTTCAGCATTCACATTGTCTTCAAAACCAGCTGGAAGCAAGCCTGCAACCACAGAGCCTAGGGCTTGCTGATCAGAAGGTTGGCAGTTCAAATCCCTGCGACAGAGTGGCTCCCGTTGTTTGGTCCCAGCTCCTGGCAACCTAGCAGTTTGAAAGCACATCAAAGTGCAAGTAGATAAATAGACACCGCTCCGACGGGAAGGTAAATGGCATTTCCGTGTGCTGCTCTGGTTCACCAGAAGCGGCTTGGTCATGCTGGCCACATGACCCAGAAGCTGTACGCCGGCTCCCTTGACCAGTAAAGCGAGATGAGCGCCGCAACCCCAGAGTCGTCTGCAACTGGACCTAATGGTCAGGGGTCCCTTTACCTTTACTGGATGTGATGATAAACTTCCCGCTGTCTTTATTTGATTTATTTCATTGAGAAAACCGAATGCATTTAATTTTAAATGTTCTAGGACTGCAGTGCACAGGGAGGAGGATATAAGCCTTTGCTTCTTGCAGTACAGTTCTGATGAAAATTGTGCCCCCATCTGGCTTCTTTTAGCCCTGGCAGGGAAACTTCCAAGCTTCTTTTCTTGGCCTACTAGTACATACCCACCAAGTGTCCCTCTTTCTCCAGGACATCCATGGAATTACAGAAGCAATCCCAGCTTCTGATTTCATAGAATCACGGAATCATAAAAGTAAGATTGCCACCACTTCAGAATTTGCCTGCCTCCCCCTGCCCCCCCCCCGAATTGCTGAATATCCCCTTCACTTTCAAGAGAGATGAATGGTCCCACAAAAGTGAGGGAAGAAGCCTTTGGCTCAGCTTGAATTCAGTTTATGCAATCTGTCAGGTCTTGCACCATCCCTTGGGCCCACCAAACCCCCTAAGCTACACCTGTAGTCAAAGAGTAATTTTTCCATCGCTGCTTTCCCTTCAGGTACCACCACTCCATCATCACCTTTCTACTGCCACATCTCCCCAATTTATAGCCCAAATCTGCAATTACTGCTGGATCCTGAATTTCTGTTAGCATTGCTAACAGGGACCCCTGACCATTAGGTCCAGTCGTGGCCAACTCTGGGGTTGCGGCGCTCATCTCGCTTTATTGGCAGAGGGAGCCGGCGTACAGCTTCTGGGTCATGTGGCCAGCATGACTAAGCCGCTTCTGGCAAACCAGAGTGCATGGAAACGCCATTTACCTGCCCGCCAGAGCGATACCTATTTATCTACTTGCACTTTGATGTGCTTTTGAACTGCTAGGTTGACAGGAGCAAGGACCGAGCAATGGGAACTCACCCCGTCGCGGGGATTTGAACCGCCAACCTTCTGAACGGCAAGTCCTAGGCTCTCTGGTTTAACCCACAGCGCCACCCACGTCCCAATGCCTGTATATGCCTGTATATAGTGCTTTTTTCTAGGGGGACGCAGGGGGACACATACCCTAAACATTTTGTGAATCTAACTTTGGCCTCATTGGGGGGCAGTATTTAAATATGAGTAGGAAAATGGGAGTCTCCCTAAACATTTCTTTAGAAAAAAAGCACTTCCTGTATGAATCTGTTGGTTCTTTCTGCAGAAGGCAAAGGGAAAAGAAATGCCCTTCATGACTACAGGAAGACAGCTGATGCCACGTTAATGAGAATAGACAAGGCGCTGAAAGTGAAGACCAAGCTGCTAAATACTACGGAACAGTGCGCCAAAAGATGCAACAGGAATAAAGGACTTCCATTCTCTTGCAAGTAAGCAATGTTTTAATTTGCTTTTAGTATTGCCAAAATACTAGTCTAGTCCAAGCATCATGATATTTAACTGACAAGCTTCCATAGACAAGAGGAAACGTTGCTTTTTAGAAGAGCATTTGAGCAAAATATTTTTGAAGCTGGCTGGCTGAGCTGATGTTAGGTGATATTAGGTTTATATGACTTCAGGCCTGTTCAGATTATTGTTGTTCCCCCTGCGGTTGTGGAAGAATTGCATAAACTCATTTCCTGCTACTGATCTCTTTTGAAGGCAGTCCTGGGATACCAGGCGAAGGGTGAGGGGTGAATAGCCTCCTAATAAATTTGTTGATATTTCTAGCCTTCTTGTTTTGTTGGTTTTATCTGTTTTTTATGACACTTTGACAACTTTACTGCTTTGAACTTGCTTGGAAAAAGGCTATAAAATATTATAAAATGAGATCATGTTTTCAGAAGTTGGAAGATAATGAGGTGTTAAAAGTAAGTAAATGTGGAGAGTCTTTTTTTGAGATTTGCTGGTGGTCAGCCATTTGGAAAAGAACAAACTGAAGGAATTGCCCAGGGCCAAGAGTTTCTAAGAGAGAAGTGCTTTCAGGCAATTGCCCAAATCAGCCTCATGTGCATGTATTTTGCAAACTTAGGACTCAGCTATACAGCTGCAAATAAAATGTTTTAAATGTGTTGTAAAGTGCAATATACAAATGCGACACTAGGTGGCGAAACTGGGCTATGCAAAATTCAATGTATTTTTCAAAACTTTTTTAAAAAAGCATTTTCGCAGCATTTTTAATATGTGTGTAGATTCCACCTTAGACAGTTTTGTGATACATGTAATGGTTTGGCTAGTTTAATTTTACTGTTTAGTATTGGATCCTAATGGATTATTGAGTATTGCTTTATTTGATATGTTGTTTATTTTAAAGTTAATGTGACTTTTTATATAGGATCTGATTGTTACTATTAATGGTTGCTGTTGTTGTTGTTGTTGTTGTTGTGATGATGATGATGATGATGATGTTGGGAGCTGCCCGGAGTGGTTGGGGAAACCCACCAGATGGGCAGGTATTATTATTATTATTATTATTATTATTATTATTATTATTATTATTATTATTGTCAGGGGTTCAGGAGTAGAGAGCGAGGGGGAGGAGTCCGAAGAAAAGATGAGTGATGACGACGACCCGAGATCTCCGAGTCTTTCCAGTGAATCGGAAGATTCACAGAAAGGAGCGCCAGTGGCCAGAGCAAAGGGGGGGCCTAGGGGGACACCCCAGGAAGAAGGGGCCAGCGGGGGTTCAGAGGGCAGCAGTTGGAAATCGGGGCCAGCGTCCCCAGCAGAGCGCAGTGGAGAGGAAGGGCATCAGGTATCGAGCTCTGGCAGCTCGCAGCAGGGAGGAGGGCATGAGTCAGGAGTGGCCACACCTCCATCGGGGAGCGAAGAAACGGTCAAGCGGAAAGTGGAAGGTTGGGCGCGCACGCCAAGTTCAAATGCACAGGAAGGCGGCGCAGTAAGCAGCCCGGAAAGGGAGCCAGGTCCTAAAGCCCGGCGCAAGGAGACAGGAGGGTCCGGGGGGTCAGCGTCAGAGGAGTCCAGGAAGGAAGAGACCACGGGGGGCAGAGGGACCCAGAGAAGGACGGTCAGGCGGAAAAGGTGGAGTAAGGCGAGGATATTAAGTTGGTGTACGAGGGGCGGAGACTCAGACGGAGCTTCGCCGGTCTAGCTTATAAGACGTAGAGCTGCACGCGGCAGCTTGGAACTGGAAACTGTAACTCAATAAAGACTTTTATAAAGTGAACGCTGGCTAGCGTGATCCTCTGTGAGCTAGGATCTGGGAGCAGCTCTGACAATTATTATTATTGCTAGTTGCTTATTCTCCATTTATCTGGCTGCTGATTGCTTTTCTGCTTATAGCAGCATAGGTCTTTGTGGAACAAAAGAATATTTTTTTCATTTTGGAATGTATCCAAATTTTTCTTCTGGTTTACATTGCCCAATGGCAGATGTGGGGAACCTTTAACCCTGCAGATGTGGCTGAGCTATAGCTCCCATCATCCCTGGCTATGCTTGCTAGGGCTGATGAGAGTTGTAGTCCAGTAACCTAAGTTGTTGTAACCTGCGCTGTGACCAGCTGGTGAAGTTCAGGTAATAATAATAATAATAATAATAATAATAATAATAATATATTGTAGTCTACCAGTTATGAAAGGGAGATTTCTTTCAGGTCATTTAAAATGGTAGCATATCCACTGAGCTTTCAGAGCACGTCCTGGGAGATGAGCCGGGTGACTGGGGCAGTGAGGCAGGTGGGCGGATCTGTTTCCTGAAAACTTTGGCCTTTCCACTTTATATTGACGGCACCTCTATGCTAATGGTACTGCATATTGCAATGACTCCTGAAAATTGTTATTCCCAGCTCTGGCCAAAGAGCCACTTGGAAAGCCCACTGTCCCCTCTCTCAAAACAGATTCAACAAGGAAGAAGATGAGGCAGCAGATTTCTACTAAAACTAGGTGAAACTATTTGGCCCAGGATTTTTTTTTTGGGGGGGGTGGTTAAATTGCATTTTGTGTAGAATAGAGTGCAAATACCTCCCCCCTCAAGATTGATTTGATTTTGGATTTGTGTGTGTATGTGAGACTGTAAGACCTTTTTGAGGACATGGTTTTTTGAGTTTAGGGTAGTTTTCTTCCTTCCTTCCTTCCTTCCTTCCTTCCTTCCTTCCTTCTTACCTACTTGGCTGGGCTCAGGCACATAGCACTGCTACTGGGAACAGAGTAGGGAATAATGTTGCATAATAACATAGCAAAAGTCCATGAGATATTTTTGGGATGAGAAAAGTGACAGCCATCATGTGATGTCAGTGAGGACAGCCATCACTCCTACCCACCAAGAGCCATGGAAGCAAGGTTGGAAACCGTTGGATCATCATCATCATCACCACCAGCAACGTTTGTACTTTTCTAGGCTTCTAACAATGAGTAGCAAATAGTATCTGACTTTCATTATTGGTACCAATGCAAGATCTCCCTGAACCCGCTAGTGATTCGTTCCCATTTTGAAAGAGGAGAATGGGGAATGGATTCATGGAAGTTCAGAGGAAAAACCTCAGCATTTGTTAGGGCCAGATGTTGCATTCTGTCTGTCAAGGGCCTGAGAGTCTCCTCAGTCAGACTGAGACTTCTTCCTTCCCATACAGAGTTGGACATCTTACTAGAGTTTTACTTTTTATTCATCCCATTTTCTGCACAGGGCTTTTGCATTTGATAAGGCTTCCAAACGCTGCCATTGGTTTTCCTTTACTGCCCTAGAAAATGGAGTGAGGAGCAGGGAAGACAACACATTTGACCTGTATGAAAAGAAAGGTAAGTTGCTTATTCGTTAGCCATGATATTATAGACAAGAAAGCCTGCCTGAGTGAGCGAGTTAATATAATGTCTCATTGGCTATTGTGAGCCCCCCTCCCTTTATAGAAGTTTTAATACAGGGATGGGGAACCATTTTCATTCCAAGGGTCAGATGGGGAACTGAAAAGAACAATTCCAGGAAAAAAGTCAAGTAAAACTCCTTGTTTAGCTGCAGGATTAAATTAATGAAACTAAACAGAACATTTTCTTATGTCCCAACAAAGGTTTTAAAGAGTGAATAAATATAGATAAGGCCAAGGACTTGTAAGTGGTCAATGATTTGATGTTGTTTACTTTGAACAGCAGGCTCATTCTCTGAACTATTTTGACTCTCATCTCTTTGCCATTTGGCAGTGGGGTGGTGCTGTTTGAGAAACAGAAGCTCAGAGCCCCCCTTGGTGCGCAGAATTAGTTGCACAGTTCTTTGGATACTGGCCAAAACATTTAACAAATTATTGTATGAAATTTTAGATTTTTAAAAATTGCACTAGTCATGAACAATTGGCACAAAGCAAGATGAGTTGACCCTTATTATGTGTGAGTATAAAAGTACACTTGCTAAATTTCTATGCATTTTTATTCACTAATAAAATGTGAGGTCTTCCATTTATCTACTTTGTTTTATGATTCATCTCCCACAGACTATGTTAGAAATTGTATCATTGGTAAAGGAGCAAATTATAAGGGAACCATATCAGTCACAAAAAGTGGCATTCGGTGTCAGGCATGGAATTCCACAATACCTCATGAACACAGGTAAGATTGATGAGATCACAAGAGCCCAGTCTTACATAACTTTCTCCTGCCAATTTCCTTTCCTTTCATTGATAATAGAATCATAAAATTGTGGAATTGGAAGGGACCCCAAGGGTTATCTAGTCCAACCCCATATAATGCAGGAATCCCAGGGAAGAAGAGTCCACCAGCTTCCAAAGGAGACCATTCCACTGTCAAACAGCTCTTCCCATCAGAAAGCTTTTCCTAATGTTTAGTTGGAATCTCCTTTCTTGTAACTTGAATCCATTGGTTTGAGTCCTCCCCTCCGAAGCAGGAGAAAACATGCTTGCTCCATCTTCCATGTGACAGCCTTTGAGATATTGAAAGATGACAGTCATATGAACAACTGGGCAGTTGACAGCAGTTGATCTCTGTAGGGTGTACAAATTTGGAAACACAAGTTTGTTGCATTATCATTTTAGTTTTAAGGTGTACACTAGAATGATTTCCATATATACATCAGAAAAGCTGAAGTGGTTCTTGAAAAGTGCTGTACGTTGAGACAGCAGTGCTGGATGGAGGACAGGGCAGGATGGGGGCCCTCAAAGCAGAGGAAGTGCTTAATTTTCATTAATGATAAATGAAAACTGTGAGAATCTTTCTCTCCACATGTTGAGGTTAATCCATAATTTATTACACTGGGATGGCTAGATTTGTGCTTTTGGATGTATGATATTCCAACTTATTGTAAGGAGAGAAAACGGAAGTTAAATTGTACTAAATCTGGAATAATTCTATTTGGAGATCATTCACTGAAATATAAACAGATAATGTAAAATAGATCAGGATCATAGATTAATGTTCTTGGGCATTTTCCGGGAAGAATACGTATCCTGGGAAATGCATAAAGAATCAAGTATTGCAAAAGCTAGATAAGAGAACTCTTTTGAAATACTTTCACATAAAGAGTGGTTTCATGATCATTCCAGCTTAAAAATATTCATGGCTAAAGTTGGGAGCCCAGTTTGCACGTAACACTAAGTCAAATGATGGCTTAGTGTGAATGAGCTCAGAAAAGAGATTGTAGCTGCTTTGAGGATGAGGAAGGAGTGGAGTGGCCTTATTAGCCCCAGTTTTCTTCTCCATGAGTGGTTACCTCACCTTGACTGCCACCCCCCTTTCCTTGGAAAAGTCTCTTCTTGTGTCTCTTCTAGGTAGTGGTGGTGAAATCCACACCCACCCATGGCAGGAACACAATTTTACCTCTGCATTGTCCTGAACAAGCCACCGCTTGGCTGAGTGTGTTGTCTGAACCTGGGTTCATGGTTTAGCAGATATTTCCCTATTTTGGATTTCATTGTATGGGCAAAATATTTGTTTATATAGGATTCTTAAGGCAGAAAAATTATGTCCAGTAGATTTTGTTGTAAATTCCTCTAATAAAAAGGTTCTGTAGAGTAGATGCCATTGCCATTTTCTGCAAAAAATTAAAAAAATTAAAAAAATTATCTGGGAATTGTCTAGTTAGTACAGCGGAGTTTATGAGCATCATGGTAATCAACTTCAAGCTATTTTTTAGAAGTGTTCTTCCCCTAGAATTGCTCTTTTTGCATATTTGTGGTGTTTAGATAAAGGTGGGACCCAGTGCACACTTACCTGTGACCTCTACATGATTGCCTTTGGTATGTGCACAAGTGCAGGCAAACAACGCTCAATATGTAGACACTGCCGGCACATTTAAGTTTGGGAGCACATTTTTCAGGCAGCACTGAGGCTCCTTTAGTTGCCTGCCAAAGTGATGCTTCATGGTGAGCCCTGCCTGCTTGTGACATTCTTTTATGCTTCCAAGTCATGTGCCCATGTAGCACTGGCAAGCAAGAACTGGCCCTTGTGTCCCAGCAGAACTTTGGAAAGCTAGTAGACAGGATTGGATCTCATCCTCCAAAACTGTAACAAGAAATTTTTTTTGTTCTATATGAAAGGCTGTATGATAACATATTTAGGGCAATCTGGATTGAATGTTGCTGGCTTGCATTTAATGCTTATCTTTCCCAAGCTTAGGACTTTCTGATGAAAGAGGTGGGGGAGGAAATTTCCATAATACTGCAATACACAAGGGCATACCATTGTTAAACACACACATGGAATGTAATTCTCTATCAGAAAAGCTTCCCTGAAGCTGTCCTTAGCAAATAGGTTATGAAAGATTGATAGCAAGGAAGAAGAAATAAGGAAAACTAGAGACTACATGAGAAAGGCCCCTCTTCTGTTTACTCAGGAAAAAAGAGATGTTTCTAGCATATGAGCTGCATACGATAGGTCAAAACCAGGTCTTTGAAGTGAGCCTGGAAATGAATTGGTAACCTGTTCAGCCAAGCCAGAACTGGTGTTATATGTTTATACTGTCCTATTCTTGCCAACAATTACTGTTAAATGTCCTCAGGTGTATAATATGAATTAATACCATACCTGACCTGGATGATAAGCATATGTAAAGTAGTAGACTCGGGGGTAAAATGAGGGAGTCTAATTAATAATTGCAGAGGAAGATATTATTTGGCACCGGCAAAACCAACTGGTGCAGTTCTAGATCACAGATGCTCTTTGCTGCTGTTTGCCTGACTACATTTTTGTTCTCTACTGCTTTACTGTATAGTTTTCAAGTATTATTTTTAACTCGTGCAGGAAAGTCAGCAGGCAGTTAACATTTATTAAATAAATAGGAGTCAGATAAACTAATTATTAAGGTTCGTGACAAAGCTTGCATGCTCTTATACTGTAATGATTGTCATTTTAAAACTAGCTTTTTGCCTTCGAGCTATCGAGGTAAAGATCTACGTGAAAACTACTGCCGCAATCCCCGGGGAGAGGAAGGCGGACCCTGGTGCTTTACAAGCAGCCCAACGAAGCGTCATGAGCCCTGTGACATTCCCCTCTGCTCAGAAGGTAACACCCAGAAGGCCAACCATTAGTTGATTTCAGTTTTGTGCAGAAGCAGAATTAACTTTACAAATATGACACACCACAAATTTCTGTCTTTTGAGTGCAGCTCAGATTCTAACAATTATTAGAGAACATTTTCTTGATATTTAAGATTCAAACTTTGTAAGATTCAAACTAGGCTGCCTTTTGGAAACACTTGAAAGTCCTTGGATGTTTTGGCAACAGAGAAACCTCCATTCTTACTTCACATTTCACATTAGGCAAAAGTTGATGAAAACCTTAATTAATTTGATGGAAGACCATGTGAATCTAACAGGGGGTTGCTATTTGTTAACATATGCTTTTACCTGCAGTATTGGAATGAGGTGTTGAGCTCAAGTCACTATCCTAGAAAAGAGTCACTTTTCTGTACTTTCAGCTGAATGCATGACATGCCATGGCGAAAGCTATAGAGGCCCCATGGACCACACAGAAACAGGCAAGGAATGTCAACGCTGGGACCTTCAGAGACCACACAGGCACCCATTTCGTCCAGAGAAGTAAAAATGCTCTTCATTTATTTTAAGGAAGTACAGATTGTGAATGGAACCTGTCTGTCTTTTTGAGACAGGACTGCTGCAGTGTTGCTGCCTGCGGGCTATTGGAATCATTGCCATGCACACCTTTTTCCGTCATGAATTAGATTTCAACCCTTCATTCATGCATTTAATTAGTAACTAGAATGATGTTTGTCTTGTCCTTCCAATGAGTTGCCAGGGTAGCTTAAAAATAAGGAAACAAAAAATGCAAAGCACAGAGAAAGGAGACATAGCAGAATCTAAAGATGGCATGAAAACCTTCAGCAGAGAAGAAACTAACTGAAATGAAAGGGCGTGAGAAAATAAGAATGCCTCAGAATGGCATCAGAATGATAACAATGTATGCATAAAGTGAGTCTCTCTGGGGACAGCATTCCATAACTGGAGCACCACCACTAAAAAGGCCCAGATGATGGGGACACCTGAGAAGGGTTGTTGTGAAAGGTCTTATAGGATGTGAATCTAGGCAATCCTATAGGTCTGCTGTCCCCAAGCTATGAGTCTTTAAAGGTCAAAACCAGTACTTTGAATGGAAAGCCAGCACTTTTATTTAGGCACAGAAAAAAGTTTTATCCGGGTATGTGAATCCTCTATAGCAGACATACTTTTTCATTGCTTACTTTTGAAAAGTAGACTGTCTGTAGGAATATTGCTACCTGCAACTTGAGTAGATGTTGGAGCCATCACCCAATCCATGAGTATTCATGTGTCAAGGCCAAACCAATGCCAGTGGTGTTCCATTCATTTGAATGTTAATTGTTTAACATATTAATAATGTATTGAATCATGTACAATCCTCATTAATTTTAATGAACTTTGGCCTACAACCATACATAGCATTGGAAATTGTTAAACTTCATATTGATTGAGTACTAGCAGTAACTCACTTTTATGTTTGCTCATAAAAGCTTCTAATTAAAAGCATGAGGTAATCTTAATAGCATAACTAGGTTTTAATGAACGAGAGAGTGAAAGAAGAGAGACCATGCACACACAGGTACAGATATCTCTAAAAAAACCCAACCAACTTTAAATAGCTTGTTATCAAAGTGACTTAAATAATTGAAAATATTTATGAGCTTAATCTTTACTGTCCTCCATAAATCTCTACCAGAATACTTAACCTTTAAGCTTCTCAGATTTTTGATCCTTTGCCTATTAAAGCTATAAATGTTTTGTTTTTGTTTTGCTAATATTTGATAGTGATCTAATATTTATCTTCCATCCCCCCACCCCACAGACAAAAAAACATTGGCTGAAGGCAATGTTCATTGCTGTGAGTTTTGGTTTTGGACAGTTACTTAAGTTGTTGCAGTATTTACCGCACTTCATGCCAAAAACGTGAATCTGAGCCAATGCAAGAACACTGAAGACTAAAAAGGTTTTGTTCTTATAGGCTGCTATCCAAGCATACAGTGTGATCTGTACTTTAGAGTCCTTCAAAAGGAGCTGATAGAGTAATTTAGGCCATGCAGAATGGTCTGGGTGGTATCTACACTGTAGATGTAAACTAGTATAATAGCTATTCTTTCTCTTCAGTAAACACTTGGAACAGTAGATCTGTGAGGGGAACTTAGAATCCTTAATGGAAAAAATACATATATTAATAATAATAATAATAATAATAATAATAATAATAATAATAGGTGAATAATATTCTGTTAAAGCCATGGCAGTTAAATTGGTATACATCAAACTTTAATTTGCAGTGTAAATATGTCATATGGTGTAGGATATATATTTGCATTGATATGAATTGCATAAGTTAACTTAATTCTTTGCCGTTGAACGTTGAGGTCACACCCACATCATACATTTGAAGCGCTATTATTCCACTTTCACAGACATGGAGAATCCTGTGAGTTGTAGCTCTGTGAAGTCAGCATCCTTAGCAAAGTATAGTTGCCAGGATCTTCTATGGCTGTTAAAGTGGTAAAGTAGTGTTTAAATACAGTATATGGGGAAGAGTTGACTTATCTAGTAACGGTAAAGGGACCCCTGACCATTGGGTCCAGTCGTGACCGACTCAGTTGCAGCGCTCATCTCTCTTTATTGGCCGAGGTAGCCAGCATACAGCTTCCAGGTCATGTGGCCAGCATGACTAAGCCGCTTCTGGCGAACCAGAGCAGCGCACAGAAACGCCGTTTACCTTCCCGCCAGAAGGTAACCTATTTATCTACTTGCACTTTGACGTGCTTTCAAACTGCTAGGTTGGCAGGAGCTGGGACCGAACAATGGGCGTTCACCCCGTCGCAGGGATTCGAACCGCCGACCTTCTGATCGGCAAGTCCTAGGCTCTGTGGTTTAACCCACAGCGCCACCTGCGTCCCAATGCCTGTATACAGTGCTTTTTTCTGGGGGGACGCAGGGGGACGCATACTCCTAAACATTTTGTGAATCTAACTTTGGCCTCATTGGGGGCAGTATTTAAATATGAGTAGGAAAATGGTTGACTTACCTACAGGCTACTTAATTCTGCTGTCTTTTAACTGGAGTCCGGTAGATAGGATTTCATAAACTGTAGCTCACATTGGAATTGACTTTTAATCATAACAATTACTTTTAACCAGCTTGCATATACGAACATTGTTCTTGCTTCCGTTGCAATGAGCTGTGTGATCATACAGCTGGAAATAAGGGAATTGGTATTTGGTTCCATGTCCTCCTTCCATAGACATTCTTTGTGACCTTGGAATGGTCATTAACTCATTTTGCGCTCCACTTGCATAACAAGTGATATTTTTTTCACAGTAATCTACTTGGAAACCAGTTGCTAACAGTATTGGAACACTTGTTCATTAACTACAGGAACGGTGGCCTGCAACCGGCTCCACGTTTTATCTCATGCCTGATTCCTGAATCAGGCAGAAATTGTTTGCTAGTTGTAGGGGATGGTGTAAATAACATGTCTTAATGGAAATGCATGATGTGATGTATTTACATGGCGGGCTTTCGATACTGCTGCTGTGTGTCACTGTGAAAAGTCCTACTTCTTTACCACTGTCATTAGCAGCTACCGTAGATGCCGGTGTATTAGGCGACTGGGCGTATTAGATGACCCCCCATATTAGCAGCTGCAATTGGGGGCTTTGTTTTATAAGCCAGTTGCCTAATACGCTGGGCAGCTCCATGCCGGGAGAAAGCCGCCTGGCGCGGAGCTGAGCCCACCGCCCGCTTCTTTGGAGCCGCCACAGCAGTAGCGGGGGTGGGCTTCACTCCGCGCTACCCATACCCGGCGTATAAGGCGACCCCCGATTTTTTAACCTCTTTTCCGGGGTTAAAAAGTCGCCTTATACGGTAACTTGATCTGAGTTGCAGAGGTCCCCCATTTTTAGCTGATTATGAAAATTTGTATATCACATTGGATCACAGCGGTTCTCAACCTGTGGGTCCCCAAATGTTGTTGGACTACAACTCCCATCATCCCTGAGCTCTGGCCTTGCTAGCTAGGGGTGATGGGAGTTGTAGTTCAATAACATCTGGGGACTCACAGGTTGATAAAGGCTGGATTAGGCTCAGTTCTCTTGACTTTTGTAAGATTTTGAAATGTTATGCTGTTTTTGTGATGTTTGAATTTTATTTTATATGTGGCTTGTAAACCACTTTGGGACAGATCTTTCTTGAAAAGCAGCATATATATTTATTAAATTAATAAACAGGTGGCCACAAGGAAGTGTGCAACATGATAATATCACATAACACATTTCCCTTGTGGCAGGAGAGAGGAAGGACACATGGCCTGGGCCAGCCTTGTGTGTTTGTTCTTTGTGACAGTCCTAAATTTGGGGTCCTGTCCATGATGTTTTTTTATCAGGTGATAACCTAGCAGTTTGGAAGCACATCAAAGTGCAAGTAGATAAATTGGTACCGCTCTGGTGGGAAGGTCAACGGCATCTCCATGCACTGCTTTGGTTTCGCCAGAAGAGGCTTAGTCATGCTGTCCACATGACCCGAAAAAACTGTGTGTGGACAAATGTCGGCTCCCTCGGCCAGTAAAGCAAGATGAGCACAGCAACCCCAGAGTCGTTCACTACTGGACTTAATTGTCAGGGGTCCTTTACCTTTAGGTTATAGGGATCTAAGCTTCTCATTCCTTCAGGTATACAGGGTTGAGGTTGTTTAGGATTTTGAAGGTCAGCACCAACATTTGAATTGTGCTTGAAATGTGCTGGGAGCCAATGTAGGTCTTTCAGGACCAGTATTATGTGGTCCCAGTGGCTGCTCCCAGTCACCTGTCTAGCTTCCGCATTCTGGGTTAGTTGGGTATTAGTTACCCAAACCCTCTGATGGTCTCTCCCAGCGGCTTCATATAGATGTTGAAAAACATGGGGGAGAGGACAGAGCCCTGAAGTACCCCACAAGTGAGTGCACGGGGGTCTGAACACTCATCCCCCCCCCACTTTCTGGAGACGGACCAGGAGGAAGGAGCCAAACCACTGCATCACAGTGCCCCCAGCTCCCAACCCACCTAGATGGTCCAGAAGGATGCCATGGTCAAGTGATGAGAAGACTAATAGGGGAGTTTCATTGCTATACTACACACCCAAAAGATTGGATATTATGTTGGCGTATTGATTTTATCAGACTGAGAGCAAAATTCACAGGGAAAGGTTTGGAAAGCAGGCATTTGAGAGCATTGCAGCCCTTGGAAAATGTCTCTGTCAGCCCACCTGGCTTGTGCACTGCAGGTGGGAACTCCAAGTGCATTGATGGAGTCACCAGGACTGAAGGCCTACATGAGTGTATGTAACCCCCAGTCAGACCTGAGGACTCTCATTCAGGCAGCACACTGCTGCTTGTATTGATACAAATTTCTGTACAGTACCAGCAAAAGGAAGCTGAAACTGGGAGGTTGAATCAACAGCAGAGGAGCAGAAAAGAAGCCAGTTACTACACATTGGGTCTTGATAGTGGTGATGGGAGTTCAAGAGTTTTCTAAAGCAATAAACCAGGCTTCCTACATTTCTCTACCTTCATTCTGCAGCTGATAAATTTAAAGAGTAGAATTTAGCATAGTTCTGCCTGCTCCCTGCTGACTAGAAAGGCTGTGCCAACAGCCAGCGGGTCTGGAGAAATCAGGCTTAGAAGTAATTGTGCCATTGCTTTTTAAAGTATTGGGGAACCCCAAACCATCCCCTTGAGTGTGTGTTGTGGGAAGACACAGTATAGCAGCAGATCAACCACATGTCATTGTTTTGTAGCTCTAGGCCACTACAACTTAATTGTAAACAATTGACATACAGCACAGGATCCTATAGAGTTGCTATAAATAGCAAAATGCCAATATGATGAAATTAGGGACCCCCTTTTTTTTAAAAAAAAAATCAAAACTCCGCAAAGTAATGAGTTGCATAAGATTCTGTTGTCCTGTTATCTTTTGCATAATCTCTTATTAAAACAACAAAAACAAAAGCCAACAGGAACTTGAGTATGTGAAACTGGGAGACTGCAACTGCCTATTTAAAATCTCAGGGTTTTCTTTGACTTTTGGCCCCCAGCCCACCAAAAACATGCCCAGTCTTAACTCTTGCTATGGCATTGTCAGTACTTTGAATATAACTGCCTTATTTCAGCTCTGGGTATGTCTTAGTTGGATACAACCTAGATTCATTTCTGCAGATATTTGGTGTCATGGTGGTAGAGGTTTCATCAGTACATGGTGTTCTTTGATTGACCAGGACCAATGTTTTTAGTTCTGTCTGCAATTCTTCTCTGAAATGGCAACTCCAGAGAATGTAAACAAAAGCACACGCTGTGTAGTCTAATAAAATAATTCACGTAGATGATAGAGCAATTGCCTTTAAATGTTTCCCCTGGAGGTCCAGAGCTTGGGATATGCAGCTTGGCCTTGATTAACAGCATACGTTTTAAATTTCAGTCACTAAATGGAAGTGTCAATTATACTTGCATTACTAACTTATTACAGTGGCCACCTAAATAGCAGGTTAAGTTGTAAAGTAAGGGGGAAGCATGAAATTAATGACCCATTAAAGCTGAGAAATGCCTGGGAAGAGCCTTTCTATCTATTGTTAATCACAATTGCCTGGAATCCAGAAATAACAAGCACTGATGGAGAGCGTTAAATGTAATTGGAGAGAGAGAGAGAGAGAGAGAGAGAGAGTGTCAGAAGGAGAGAGATGAAATTTTACTACCTTTTAGAAAGCTGCTACTCTGTTACAGCTAGACCTTGTCTAGATTTACTCAGAGGCTGATATGCAAAGTAGCAGAGTAGCTTACAGCTAGGAAGCTAAATAACTCTTCCAGGTGGTTGACAGCTTCTTTGTAAAGACTATACAATGTCCAGACTTTTAATATTCAAAAGAACTTTACTTTCATAAACATAAACATAAAGGTTTTTACTTTATTATACGTACCATGTATAATAAATGTAATATAAACAATTATTTCTAAAAGAATAAGCAAATGCTATTCATTCAAGAAACTGACAGTTGTCTCAATTCCCCCCTTCACTTCTTTCAGTAAGTCCAGGACAAAGGGTATGGAAATAATTAAAAGGAGTAAAAATATTGACAAGATAAAGGAGGGCAGAGGAAAACTGCATTTTTCCTCCTTGCAGTGCTGGAAATGAGGGCATGGCCTCAGAATAAGCAGACTTCTAAAAATAGAGCTATCATTAGCACAAAGTTTATTGAAAATAGCTTCCAGTTTGAACCCAGGACTGTTGAACCCATTTCCTTAATGAGTCTGGCATGCCAGGAAGTGTTTATATTGTCCACATTTAATTGGGCCATTTGAAGATAGGGAGTAAAGGTATCGTGTCAAGCCAGACACTAATGGGAGGTTGCCCAATTAGCAGAGTGACCCTGTTGGATGCCCCGCAGCATATCAGAACTGTTCTCCTCCAGATATTACAGCTGCTGACTGCTTTTTGATGGCAACTCCTCCTCCCACATCTGTAGGTATTTGGCACCCCACATGTTAGGATTCCTGTTTGCCCTAACTGCCTCAGAACCCTATCAGGCTGGAGGTCATTTGGGCTGCATCTTGTGTGCCTGTGTAGCCTTGCCAGGCTGACTTGGTTGACATGCTTGTCCGTGTGCTTTGCAGATATCCTGACAAAGGCCTTGATGATAATTACTGCCGCAATCCAGATAATAAGCCGAGGCCGTGGTGCTATACTCTTGACCCAAACACCCCCTGGGAGTTTTGCACAATTAAAACGTGTGGTGAGTTTAATGCAAATGTTTATTGTGACTTTCCCCTTTCCTTAATCTAGGCTAATAATCTATCTGAGATTGTCTCTTCACTGCTTGGCAACCCTCTTATATTTTCTGTAGGTTTCAGTCCTGTTGTTTATAACAAGGATCCCCTGCATGGTTTGGTCGTTCCCCTGTTCTCTTGCCTAATATGCTCTCCCCAGCCCTCTTTGTACCTTTCATGTGTAAAAGACTCCTCATGCAATTTCTGGGGCGTGGGTGCTACATTTCTGGCCTTGCCCTCAGATCACACAGGCTCCATCAATCCCTCTCCACATGCATAACTTTCCCTGGAAGCTGCAGGCCTAATAATACAATTAGTCTTGAAAGCAGATTTTAAGGGTAACAGCTCAGAATTTATGAGACAGAGTTTGCCTGGGCACAAGCAAAGGTGCATGTACAGATGAGACCTAGAAAATGCCCAAGCGCCCTCTGAAGCATTGTACTGAAGGCTGTAGTGGTAGACAATATCTATCTTCCCTCTAAGCACACTCTGAAGCTCCTGTGTTGCCCCAGAGTTCTGGAAAACCCAGTTTAAAAACAACTATATTAGATCAATGCTGCTGCAGGTCTCCTGAGGTCAGAGTTCTTATTGGTGTGGGAAAAGATAAGAGATCCGCTTCAGCATACATCTAGCAAATCCCTGCAATCCACTTAAGCAATGCAATATGTATGAGACCTTGCTATTTAAGGTAACAAATAATATCTCAGAAGTGACTGTCTAGCAGTTTTTACTTTTATGCTAGCAATTAGCATACTAAACAGTGCTGAAAAATCTCTCCTGAGAATACAAACATCTGGTGCATTTATTACCATCTGGACTTCATGCTACCTGAATGTTTGACGTCCAAACTAAACTGATCAAAGACCCGATCTTGCTTAGACTTGGCACGTTCCAAACATTTTGAGGCTGCTTCTCTCTTCTGTGAACCTAAAAATGCTAAAGAGTATTTTACCTTTTCTTGGAGTGATAATCTATTTGCTCATGAATCTCATATAGGAAAACCAGTTTTCTAGTATTATAAATAAATAGTTTGAACGACAGGTTTAGGTTTATTAAATTTATATATTGTTGCCCACAACAAAAAGTTCCAAAGTGATTTAAAATGAGAGTGAAAATACAATAATACAAACAGATAAACACAGTGAGGATAAAAACATCCAATCACTGGTGCTGCCTGAATGCCTGGGGAAACAAAAATGTCTTCGTGGTGCTGGAACATTAACAAAGTTGACACCAGGTGGGCTTCCCTGGGGAGATGACCTGCATGCTTGGGGCAGGCTTCCTTTGTCCTGTTTTACCTTGGGTCCAGGTGTGCACTCGTTCGCCAGAGTGCAGAAATAGTGTAGAGAGATATACACAGTGCTTTTCCCCCCTTCAGGGGTCCTCTCATTTTCTTACTCATATTGAAATACTGTCCCTCAAGGAGGCCAAACTTAGATTCACAAAACGTTTAGGGGTATGCATACACCTGCGTACCCACAGAAAAAAGCCCTGGAAATGCAAGATAGGAATCGTGTACAACCAGTAGAAGATCTTTGCCATTTTAAAATATACTGATTTACTTGTGGAATCCTAAGAATCTTAAGGGGAATTATTCTGTCTTTTCTGTTCCTGCATGAATTTGCAATTCACAAGCTGTAGGTAACAGGGCATTTTTTTACAAGTGGCTCACTTCAGGAAATGACTCTGAACCACTTTGTCAGGAAATGACTCTGAACCAATGTGATCATAAAAAAAGAATGCAATGGAAATGTACAACTGCCGCACAAGAAAATATTGATGCCCCAGTAGGAGTTTGAATGTCCTTGAATTGCATTATTGCAGTTTCCTTAAGGAGTAGTTTGATATTTTTCTCTGCAGTAACGTTTGGTTTTTCTGAAGTATTCATTCTGTGTTACAGCTCCTTCCTAACATTCCTACAAAAGTACACAATATGTGATGTAACTAATCACTTTGCTGCAAAAACACCACAGATTGTCATACACTTCTGTTAAAGGCAAATTTGCTTTTGCAAATGGTATACTCTCAGTGATGACCATTAGTATTCTAGAGAAGTCAGGAATAAATAATGTTAGAGAATCCATTAGCTTAGTGGTACAGCACATGCTTTGCACTCACTTCCCATGTTTTACTTTGCATGAATAAGGTCGCAAATTCAATCCCTTATATCTCTAATTATGTTCTTGATGCGGCCTCAGTTCCATAAACATTTCCAGTTATCACAGATTTGTAAGTAGTAAAAATAAGCCTTGTGCCTGCCTGCCTGAGTGACTCATTTGAGCAGCTACCATTTTCCAGAATTCTGTTCAAAACAGTCCACGCCAGACTGAGTGCAGCTTGCAGAGACATCTGCAAAAGGTCTTGAGACAGAGAAACTTGTTGGCTTTCCAAACATATTACTCTAGGGAGAATTTGATATCAGATTTACAGAAGCACAGCTACTCTTTAAAGTGCACAAATATTAGCTTAATAAAGCCATTAGAATATTAAATGTAGGAATGTATTCATTTTAAAAATCAGATACTTTTGCATTAATCCATAATTGTGCGTGATCTACATAGAACAAATCTAGGATGCCAAAACACTGATTTGTGTGTTTAATTTTCCTTGCGCAAATACTCTTTTGACTGAAGTGGAACCAGGGATTTAAGTAGTTAGATGGGTTTATAATAGATTTCGTCTTGTACATGTTTATATGACTGGGGTTACAACAACAAAAGATGCCTCTTGAAGAATTACCTTTGTATTTACCAGCAGACTTTACATTTAAAAACTAATCTATATTCCAGGTTAGACAGTAGACCCTAATTGTGCAAGCAGATGTGAACCCACAAAATCTTATTGACTTTATAAAGTTTGAGCTATGGGTAATTCAGGCCAGGGTGCATAAACACAGAACCTTTACAAGGATTCCTAGTATTTTGCTCTTAGGGAAGCATGCTGTTGCGCAGGGACAGGGAGGGAAAGGCACTATGAATTGCATTCTGGGAAACTGCAATCTAGCAGGCAGAAACCTGGTGTTTAGTGGTGTTCCTGCTTATGTCCAAATAGAAGTACAGTGGTACCTTGGTTTAAGAACATCTTCCTTTATGAACAACTTGGATTAAGAACGCTGCAAACCTGGAAGTAGGTGTTTTGGTTTGTGAACATTGCCTTGGAATAAGAACATGCTTTGCTTCCTGTTGAGTATGTTCCATTTGTAAATTGAGTCCCCACTGCTATGGGAAAGCATACCTTGGTTTAAGAACGCTTTGGTTTAAGAACAGACTTCCGGAACAGATTACGATAGTAAACCAAGGTACCACTGTATTAATAGGAAAAACCTTGGAAATGAAATCCATTACTGTGTTGCAGAACAAAATTTTAAAACAGTCACAGAATCACAGCAAATAAAAGTCTTTCTCATGCAAAGCAATCCGACATTTGAACTGATGGCATTCAGTTCTTTGGAATTCAGTGCTAGCCTAATGTGGAAATAGCTATTAGCTAAGATTCATAATGCTTGAGGAATTTAATTTCTGTGAAGTCCTGTGTGGACTAACCTCCATCTAAATTCACACTTCTCCAAGTTGTAGTTATCCAGCCAAGTAATGTATACAAAAATGGTTGTGCATATAAATGCATGTATTAGTGAAAATAGCTTACACAGGTGCGTTATATTGGGGAAGATTGCCTTGCTGATTTTTCATATTGGAAGAAAATTGTACTAAAATGTTACTGAGTTTTCATGGAGACTTTCTTTTTAAAAAATCACAAATTGATGAGGAAAGGTGGAGAACTGAACTTAAGATCTGAAAAATGAGAAATGTGCAATATTTTCCCATCCCTATTCAGAGTAAGTCTCCCAATGTTCAGTTGGGCTTGTTGTTTAGTCGTTTAGTTGTGTCCGACTCTTTGTGACCCCATGGACCAGAGCACGCCAGGCACTCCTGTTTTCCACTGCCTTACGCAGTTTGATCAAACTCATGTTGGTAGCTTCGAGAACACTGTCCAACCATCTCTTCCTCTGTTGTCCCTTTCTCCTTCTGCCCTCCATCTTTCCCAACATCAAGGTCATTTCCAAGGAGTCTTCTCTTCTCACGAGGCGGCCAAAGCATTGGAGCCTCAGCTTCAGGATCTGTCCTTCCAGTGAGCACTCCGGGCTGATTTCCTTAAGAATGGATAGGTTTGATCTTCTTGCAGTCCATGGGACTCTCAAGAGTCTCCTCCAGCACCATAATTCAAAAGCATCAATACTTTGGTGATCAGCCTTCTTTATGGTCCAGCTCTCCCACATAAATATGCATAAGATTGCAGCCTAAGGGGTTGCCTTGTTTCCTAGGACCCAATGTATCTTTTAAGTGGTCTGCAGGAATCAAAGGATGAACTGTAGAACATTCCCCTTACATCAGGTTGACTTGCAGGAAGGAAAGCAACAGCCGTGTCTATCTTTCTAGCTCAGAATGTTGTGGACAGCTCTTCAGCAGCAGCTGAGACGAGAGAATGCATCAGAGGTCAAGGAGACGGGTACCGTGGAACTATAAGCACCACATGGAGTGGCATTGAATGTCAGCCTTGGGACTCTCAGACTCCTCATCAACACAACTTCACATCGCAGAACTATAAATGCAAGTGAGTAGGGCCTCATGGGTGTCACCATTTTAATGGCAGTGATTATGACTTGCAGATTCATTATTAATCTTCAACCCAATAAATACTCATGTGACTTGTAGAGTGTGATATAAAACATACTTTACTGTCATGTCAAACACTATCTAGGAATTGTAGCTATGTTTCTCAAGTGTTGCTTTTGGGACAACTCACCTGAATCTAATTTATATAACTGCTCCATGTTTGGTGGACTCATTTCATGGATCCATGCACAATCCAATGTGGGAATCTTCAGAGCCCTTTTTCTGGCCTGCAAAACTGGCGCATAAGTTGTGGTGTATTCATAGTGCCTGATGGTGTCTAGTACCAGCTTCTCACAGTGTACCTGGCAAACTGTAGTGTGGTGGTTTTATGTGTGTGCACATGGAAATGTATACTAGTGTGATGGAGGCACACCAACATTTCCAGTAAGAAAGATGGTAAAAAAGTGAATTGGTCACAGGTTTTGGGACTAGTTGGGAGAGGTGTTAAACTGTCACTCAAGGTTTTTTCTGCAACATGGCTTTATCTTACCTTGAACACTAAAACTTCCTACCTTCTCAACTCTCTGATATTTTTAAGAAGCCACTGCTCCCCCCACAACACTCCCCCCCCCCATTTCCTAGTTGTCTGAAAGTTCCCTTCTAGGGAATCTAATACATCTACAGGTGAACTAGTTGAAATGATGCAAGCCCCAGCATCAATTCTTCCCCTCCTAATTAGGATTCCTGCTGCTTATAGAAGCTCTGGTTGTGTGGAACCATGATCCCTTGTAGCTGCTCATTCTTCAGCTCTTAAATTGGCTGGCTGTGTCCTATGAAAGGCTTCAGTCACCTGTCCATGTCAGAAACCTTCGCCACAGTAGCAGCTTGATGACAAGAATCTTGTTTGAGGGTAAGTTATCCTGACTTGATAATATGCTACGGTTTTGTGAGAGTGTGCTTGTTTTTCAGTGCAGGGTGAATGGGTGTCCAGTATGATTGTTGTTACCAGTGCTTTACTCTTACTAAAAATTACTAAAAATTCAGATCTTTCCATCTGGAAATGCTCTATTTTATATTCATGCTAGTGTGGACTTTAATGTCTGAAAATATGCAGGATAACATATAGTTTCTTCCCCCTTAGCCCCCTTCTTGAAGGACCAGCTTTTGCATCGTCAATAAAAGGATTGGGTAGTGAATGCACACAAGTGCAGACAGAGGCGCATAGTGCTTGGTTTTGCTTCCAAGAGCGCCTTTCTGCTAGAATTGGAAGGCTGACTCAGTGGTGGTTCCAGACTGTAAGGGAATCTGAGGAAAAGGGTTCGGGAGGCCTTTCTAGGATGGAAAGATGATGGCCCACAAATGCGGCCAGGTGAGGCAACCACCTCAGATGGCAGGATCCAGTGGGGCAGCAGATCTTGATGCCAATCTTTCTCCACCCACTGCCTGATAGAGCTCTTCTCTGCCTCCCTCCTCCTTCCCTGGTGGGCAGGGGAGCACCCCAGGTGCCAAAATGTCTTGGGCTGGCCCTGCTTCTAGTACTCTCAATATTAAAAATACATATTTCTTGTTGAAGCAGCTCTTTTTACATAGTGACTCTGAATGTTTGGGGAACTGTGACCAAGAGCACTCAGCAAAAAGTTATTTTGCTTCCCCTTGCTGCTGTTTCTTTTCCAGGATGCATGCAGAATGAAGCACCCCTCCTTTGTGCCACCTGCACACTTCTGAGACATTTGCTGACCCTGTGATGTGAATGGCACGGTCTAAGTGCTGTGCAACACCCACATGGTTTCTCCCTTGGAACACCATGTTCATGCACCATTCAGAAACCTGCTTTTGCAGCTCAGCTTCCATTTTCCAGCTGAGAAAGAACTTATTGGCACTAGCAAGACTAGTGCAGTGAAGCATATATAGATGCTGGAGAACCATCCTTATTAGGCTAATGGTGTTCTAATAATCCAGGATTGTTGGTTAATGTTACATGAATGGGAGCTGTTGTAAGGGACATATTTCAATATCTTCGGAATACAGTATTCATCAGAATTTGATAGGTGCCGCCATCTAGCTGTGCACTGGGATAGAAAAACAGTTTGAAGTAATTTTGCAGCTTGCCTAGCTGGAATCAGTTGAAATGGATTTGTCCCAGAAAGACCCCACACTGTGACCAACTGTCTTTTATTCTTTCCTTCCTTTTTTACTAGAAATTTCATCTACTCGGAAGCATTGTTGCAAATAAAAGTCCCATGTCATTCATCAGGGGGGATGGTTGGGAGTGGGGAATGCTGTCTGCACTCAGTTGCAACTTAGAGTATCAGCTGTGATGCAACTGGTGCTGTTTGACTGGAAGCAAGTCATTGTGGCTCTGCCATTTTCATTCCATGCTGCTTTGGTACTAGGCTGAGATGCCACGGTTGCTACAGCTTCTTTGATTCTCTTGCATGCAATAAGCACTGGCTACGCTCTGCCTCCACAGTCAGAGGCAATAATACTTCTGAATACTAGTTGCTGGAAACCTCAGAGGAGAGAGAATGCTCTTCTGCCCAGGTCCTGATTGCGGGTTTCCTAGAAGCATCTGGTTGGCCATTGTGGGACAGGATGCTGGGCTAGAGGGGCCATTGGCCTGATCCAACAGGCTCTTCTAATGTGGACTTCAAGTGCCAATGAATTTTTTGTGGCGCGGTGGTGAAAGTGTGCTTACATATGGGATAATTGTATTCCAAGTTTTGCTAGCGAGATGGATAGGCTCCAGCATGGTGCTTACTAAAGGGTTATTTTTTATGGTGGTGAACCTGATATGTGGTGGTGCTAGCTAAGTTGCAGTTGTACATGCATGATATCAACCCCCTCATGTTGACTGCTGCAATGTGGGCTTTCTGCGCTGCATGCCAGTGCCCATGGAGTCATGGTGATGATGGAAATAGACTGTGATAGCTCATAGAACTCTGACTCCTGTGTGATCTTACCCAGGGAGCTCTTGAGAGGACTCCCACAGTTCCACTGCAACAGCCAGCAATATGGGTATATGCTATTGCTTTGTGTATTTTCTGTCAGTGCTTGCTGCCTTGGGGGGGGGGGAAGGTCTCGGTTGGACATGTGATGACACACTGTTGTTTCCTTGCACTGCAGAGCTGAAGGTGGACCAGCAAGGAATAATAGAAAGAAATCCTATTATAATTTTTGTGAATGTAACCAAGTTCCTACTGTCTTTTATGTGTCATATTTCACTTTTGTTAAATAAGTTTTTAATGTTACTATATAGCTGACGGTAGGAAAATGTGCGTTATGTACACTTGATCTTTTTATTTTGCATAGCATTAATTATTGTCATGTGCGCAGAAGAGTCTTTTGGCAATGTTATGAGAATTGATTTTATAATATTTGTAGAGCGACTCCAATAAATGCATTTTTCACTTCTCCTTTCTATATTCCTTTGCTTAAATTAATTTGACAATTGCCTAGGTGAGTGTTCTAGTGGCACTGTAAAGCAATCCAGGTGCCATTCCTCTATACACTTTCCTAGAAGTAAGTCTCATTGTACTCAGTGGGACTTACTTCTGAGTAGACATGCTTAGGATCGTGCTGTGAAAATGGCTATATTGTGCACAACAGTTGCAGAAAGATATGCTTGGTGCTGGGCAGCCAAGGATTCCCTTAACTGCTGCAGGTTGGAGGTGGGACATGAAGCTTTTCTCACTGTCGTTTTCTTCTTCATTAGCCACAAACCATTCACATGGAAAACTTTTTCGAAGGGGACAAGCTTTCTCTCCTCATACATAACCCATTGTTTTACCCACTTGCCCGTCAGTAGAACAAAAATGCGGGAGAGAATCCCACACTTGCCTGGCTATGTCATGATGGCAGGCGTAAGGCAACAGTTTTGCAGTCACAGCCTCAGTACACTGTTGCTAGAAATCTGATCTGTTCGCTGGTGAAAAAGAGGAATATGGGAATGCTTTTTAAAATGGCACATAGGAACCTGAATAGGAAGCTGCCTTATGCTGAGCCAGACAACTCCGGCCAGCTCAGTATTGTCTCTGCTGGCTGGCAATGGCTCTTCCAAGATTCAGGTCGGGTCTCTCCCAGCCCTAGGATTGAAACTGGCACCTTTTGCTTACAACACCCCTGCTGCACCACTGACTTGTGGTCCTTCCCCTAAATGCAACATGATCCCTTGGTAATTATTGTTGCCTTGGTGCTGTTTCCTGGGCAGATCATTGAAGACTTTACAGATCAAAATAAATGTAGATCAACAAGGCTATTAATAGAGCAGCTGTCACAATTACTGTAGACATTAGAAATATGGCGGGTGGGTCCATTTGGCTCTGTGAGCCTCTGGAATTTAATCCCATTTAACTTGTAGAAGGGTGAAGTACATGCCTTTGGCTGCATATACTTAATTGGCAGCAAGTCCAAATGAAAGCAACGGGACTTCTGAAAAGCCAGGCTTTGGGCTGGTGGTGCTTGGATGTTAGAGTTGAGAATTAGACATCTATGCTCAGACCACAGAATTAAAGCCTTAAAACTATAGAATAAGGATGTAAAAGTTTTATAGCAGTCCTCAGGATTTTCACCCTGAAAATTGTTCTGCTACAATCAATCGGTCAGAGCCAGAGTATGTGATTTCAAGTGTTCAGCCAAATATGTGTAACATACTTTAGAGAAAAGCATGCACAGAGCTGAATGTATCTCTTTTTCCAGAATAGTGAGCCAAATTTCATAAATTTCACTTAAAGCTGCACTAATATGGAATATCCTCTACAAAGCCTTTCTTGAGAACCTCTTTAACCCAACTAAGAAGGAAATGGGGGATCTGGTCCTGTAACATGTCTCAGACAAAACACTCAATTGACTCCCTTGGGGGTTTTGATTAAGCACTTTAGAAATATTAGTCAACATTTGTCATTGAGCCTATTTCCTAGGAAAACTCCCTTTATTTTTGTTTTGTTTTATAAAGAATACTAGAGTACTGGGAAAGCTCTACAGTGCTACCCTGGTTAGTTTTAGTTTCCCTGTTGGTGTTACATTTTCCAATGCACATTTCCCCCCCAAAAGACAGAACTGTTGAAGATGTGTGTCTCTGTAAACGAAGAATAGGGATCTTTTGGGCATCCAGATGAGGATGAACTACAACTCTCATCACCTCTGACCAGTGGCCAAGCTGGCTGGGGCTTGTTGGTGTCCAGGGGAGGGCCATAGGTTCCCCACCCAAGGTTTAAGCAATGGAAAAGTCAAACACACAGAGCATACATTCCATTCAACTTGAACATTGTGGCTCTCATGGCTGATCTCCCAGCCAACACAAATTCTGCATTTTTGAAGATTCCCTGTTTCCTTACAATTTCTTAAAAATTGCAGTGAATGAAGTATTATGTCAGAGATAGTCATAGTTCTTTCTTCTGTTAGGCTGTCTGATGAAGACGTCTCATGTTAATAAGACTGGGCACACATTTATTCTACCGACAGTTATCAATCATTATTCCAGATGGCCAAAAAAAGCCTTATGAAATTGAAGACTCAATTGAACTTGAGTGAAGTTTTCAGGAGAATGGAGAGTAACACTTAGATTTCAAGAGGTTGACAGTTTTAATACAAACCGATACTTTGTTTTAAAGAGAGTCCCTAATGGTTAGACGCCAATTCAAAAGGTAACACCTGTATAGGATTTCTAATCACATTTCTCATACTCTTGGGTTTCAGTTTCCTAATTAAATCAGTGATAAAACCAAAGGGGCCCTACCCCTATAACCAGATAGAGCCACTCACTCTGAGAGGGGAGGGGTTATTGTTGGCATAAGCCTGAAAGCAGAATTTATAATAGGTTTCAGATGACTCTGATCCCAGTTCACATGAAAGAGTTTGTAACAGGCAAAATACATTTGGAGCAACGGTGGCTGAAAGATGGAGTGCATTGATACCCTTGCACTTTATGTGAAATACTATAGCCATTATTCATTGAATATAAATGTACCTGTTGTCTCCTGCTTTCTGTTGCCAAATTTTACTCAAGTGTGTGCACACTTTGTGTTGTTTTTTGTGCAAATCTTTCTGCTTTAGAAACGTAGTGACACGCAGATGTCAAACAGCTTTTATTATTGCTAAGTTGCATTAGAAAAAGCAATGCAAAACAGCAGCACTGTGCCTGACATATGTTAACATGTTTATTTTTTTTATAGGGACTTAAGAGAAAACTACTGCCGCAATCCAGATGGAGCTGAGGCACCGTGGTGTTTTACTACCGACCCAAAAACCCGCACTGGCTTTTGCTTTCAAATACCAAAATGTGATGCACCAAGTGAGCAAGGTAACTAGGAAGATAAGAATATTCGAAAGTATTGTGGAAGAAACCTACTATTGTCCTCAGAGTAGTCCTTGTTCTGGATGCTGCTGGGAATATCATGAGAATTTTTTTTTTTGTTAAGTCATTTACGACATAATAGTCATAGTAGCAGATTCAACATTCTGTGGACAAATTAAATATTTTTTAAGAGAGGCCACCACAAACTAAGAGTAAAAATTTCTGTCTCTCTACCTGGATATTTGGTTTGCAAATGTCTCTAATGTAATCTGGTGCTGTGCTGAAAATTACCCCCTATTGAGGCAAGAAAGCAGGTAGAACCCCAAGTGTGGGCAAGGAACGGACCCGAGGGACGCCTTCCCCATCTGTCGGCTCTGCCCTTGGCCCAACATCCGCATCCAGGCCTGCATCTCCATTCACCAAAACTCATGACAGGCGGCACAGGCTTACGCCCACCAATCAGGAAGGGGCTCTGATGCCAGGATTCCCTCATTGGGGCCCCAGTGAAGCGTCTGCCGTCCCGCAACGCCACCCACCGAAAAGGGGGGAGTGGACTCCCATGATTTTCTCAACCATTCTGCATCAATTAATGAGAAAGAAATTACATTTGAGAATAACGAAAGAGACAGGAAATTTGAGTGAAATGCTTGTGGAGGGTTTGTACTGGGAATGGTGGGTTTGTGTTGTACTTACCTTACTTTTGAGGTTTGTGAGTGTCCTTTTTTCCATTCTACAAGCAATCTCTCCAGTGAACTGCATTCTGCAGTTTTCTCAGGTGGCTTCAAGGTCAGTCTGAAAGGCCCAGTCTACTAAATCAGCACCTCACACTTGTCTTTTTAAAATTCCACATCCTGTGATTCTGCTTCACAACTATAGTGTAGCAGAATGGTGCAAAACTATTTGAAGTGACAATGTCAAAAGTGTTGCAGATGTGAAACTTATTCACAGCATATGCAAAGTTGTGAAATGTTTTCCAAATTAAAATAAACCAAAATGTACGTTTCAAAGATGGGAATATTTTTACTTGAGATCAGCTGTGAGCTTGTCCTTTGCCTTGTATGGGGATGAGTAACTACAGCATTTATCTATCCTTGCCAGAATCCAGGACCTTTTCCTTGACTAGCTTAAAGTTCCATTTTATAACCTCCTGAAAACATCTGGATTTAAACTGCAGAACTAAAGATACATTGGCAGCTTTTACATATGTTAATGCATTGGGCGACCTTGTCAAGTTCACAGTCAACAAATTACCATTTGAACTGAAAAATTCCCAGTACATCTGCAATAGATATTGAAAGCAAGTTACTTATTTACTTTTGAGTTACTTATTTATATCTTTAAACATAATTATTTAAAAGATTCAAAGAGCTCTTGTCTTCATGTACATTAGCTTTCTCTTATGACGGTGTTTACTGGCCCTGTTTTTGTATGTATTACCTTCTAAACAGTATGCTGAATTTAAAAACTGGATTATATTTAATTAACAGGATATTTAGAAAAACCGGTAACACTGGTATTTTAGTAGCTTCTTTTAAATGATTGTTCTTTATGTAGATTGCTATCGAGGGAATGGGACGAATTATATGGGAAATATGGCCCAGACCCGCTTTGGCTTAACTTGCTCTATGTGGGATAAAAACATTCAAGACTTACAAAGGTATGTATAAAATTAAAAGGAAAAAAATATTTTCCGTCTCAGTCAGTAGAGAAAGTTGCAACATATTGTTCAAGTGGCTTCCATGTTTTTTACTAAACATTTTTTTTTACAGTGCCTTCAACTTAATTCTTGTCTTTCTTTTCAAAATGGTATGCCTATAGATGCACTTATACCCCTGTTTGGAGAGTAGAACTGGGATAAACACATCTCATTTTATATAGACTCCCTCTCACTCTTTTGCTTCCACTATTCAAGGGGTTTTTCTTATAGTTTCAGAAGAAAAGTGACTACTTAATCTAGTGAAGTCTATCACAAGCCCAAATTATTTTCAGCGGCTTTTATATGATCTACTGATGTGGTGTTATTGCACTGTGAGAAGTCTTCTTCTGGTGCTTTTGCAAGAGTTCACAGACCAGTGTCAATTCATTTTGGGTCCAATATATTTTTTTCAAAAGGCAATTGCAATAAAATTAGATTCCAAGTTCAGTGCACAGCTTGCAATTTCATAATAAATTGTGGTGTTGGGAAAGATAAGACATTTTAAGGAGAATCTTCAACTGTTGTTTTGAAGGTCCGGGGGAAAAAAGATTAGACTTGATTTTCCCATTATTTTACTTGGATTTCAGGGTTTCCTGCAAGCTGTATGTTCTATCCTTCCCTCACATGAACAGGAAACAGAGAGCTACGTTTTAGTACTCAACAGTTTCCCACAATGCTCTGCTCTTTCTCATGAAGCCTTCTGCTTATCAAATGAGCTTTTCTGGTTAATTTCCCCCACCATGCCTTAGGGGAAATTCCCTATACTATTTCTAAACCCCATAAGCCTGAAATGTGAATGCCGTCAGAGCACAAATTGCTTGGCAAACATGTCCATTAATAATCAGAAAATCGACTTGTGTTCATACAAGCTTATTAAAGTACATTGCTGGCATATCTTTTCTTTATAGGCATCTACCAATATATAAAGAGCCAGATATTAGCAAGTTGAAGAAAAATTATTGTCGTAATCCAGATGATGATGTTCATGGTCCTTGGTGCTATACAAGTGATCCTCAGATCCCCTGGGACTACTGCCCTATATCTAGATGTAAGTGCTCAGAATAAATGATAGGCCGATGATGCTACAGAATTGATGGAGGTGGGGAAAAGTCAGGAGGGAGCAGATATAGTTCTGTACTCTAGCTGATAAATGTGATAATTAAAAAAAAGGCTTCAGACGCTGATATTGGTGAGAATGGGGTGGGAAAAGTTGACCAACGTGGAGCTACTACTAATTTATCTAGATAAGCTTCGAAATTGGCAAAATGGAATGAAAGCAAGCCCTTGTTTGGCTAAAATTGTGTGCATAAACTGAAGCCAACAGAAAATTTTCCGAGAATATTGTCAAGCGACATTCTACAAATTATGGAAGCCACCATTTCCCCCTTCAGCATGCCTTAGATATAGCATCATTCTGGTGTGGGGGCGGGTTGGGGGGAATAGTAACTAGATTGAGGTTCTTTCTCCAAATCAACCCTGAAAAGCCACTAAAATTAACTGCCTATAAACATCGTGGAAAAGTAGGGAGGGATATTTTGGCTAAGTCCTAGTATAGATCTGTTTGAAAGGCTATTGCATCCCCTAAAGAGAGATGCTGTTTCAGATTATAAATCAAATAAATGTTTAGGGTTCTTATTCTTCTTGGGAAGCGTTCTTCTTGGGAAAATATTCATAGTGGGCGACATTATTGAACCTGTGCCACAAGTTAAGCAGAACATACTCACCGTGTTTACAGTTTTCATACATACATTGTAGTTGTAAATCAGTTTATTTAACAAGAATAATCATGGTTTGATTATACTGCGTTGTCTGTGTAGGTGAAGATGATGCCGTTCCTACAATGGGCAGTTTAGACCGTAAGTAGCACTTATATAAATCCAATAAATAAATTCTGTTATGGTATATTAGCCATCCTTTCTCACATTTCCTGGGTGTATCTTAGGCCCACTTCATACATTGGTCATACTCATAACACCCAACTTAATCTGTTCCGGGAGTCCGTTCAATTCCCGAAATGGTTCGAAAACCAAGGCACAGCTTCCAATTGGCTGCAGGAGCTTCCTGCACTCAATCGGAAGCTGTGTCAGACAATCGGCTTCTGAAAAACATTCACAAACTGGAACACTCACTTCTGGGTTTGCAGCATTTGGGAGCCAAGCCGTTTGAGTACCAAGGTACCACTGCACTCCTCCTGAGCATGTCGAAAGAGAGGCACTGCATGAACTTGCTGCTTTCCTTGAGCTTTCTGCAGCTTGCCCATTTAAGCACTAAACCATGGTTAATATTACTGTCAAAGTCTATTAAAGTTCCTGAATATATGCTGCAAGTGGTCCTTGGATCCTGGTTTGTCCTCCTGCTCTTATTCACAGCAAGAACCACATCACAATTTCCCACTGCTATTTGTGATGGTAAAGAACACTAACAATTTTAGGGCGGCTTATAGACTGTCTAGAGAAAAGATGCCTGTCAGTTGTTTTGTTTTAATGGGAAAGTGTAGTTGTATAAGCTGTTCAAAGTCTTAGGTCTAAAGTGGAATATAATGTAACCTAAGAACATTCTTTCAGCTGCTGTTATCCCTTGTGCCTCAACAAAACACCTGAGAGTTGTTAATGGAATCCCAACTCAACCTGACAAAGGATGGATGGTTAGTTTGAAGGACAGGTAAGACTGTATATGCTGCCCTTCACTGTGTGGGATCCAACCCTCCCTTCCTCCCAAGACCTTATTTGGTCATTCAGAAGAACATAACAATAATTGTGTTATAGAGGAGAGTGGGGCCACACATATTCACCCCCATGCCCTCCTCTCCCCATGGCTGTCCACGTAGTGGAGCGACCTGTTGAATACACATAAACTGTCCCTGTGAACTGAAACCTTGAACGAATGTTAATGCAATTACCGTCATGTGGTTCTGAACTTTCGGACAGACCTATTGTCTCTGATTCTCCGTTTTAGGGGAGAAACACTGAATTTCTAACTGCACATTGAGTAACAAGTTCCCCACATTGCTTCCACAAGACAGCATAAGTCTCACACTTATACCGTATTTTTCGCTCTATAACACGTACCCGACCATAACACGCACATAGTTTTTAGAGGAGGAAAATCTGTAGGCATGCCACCCGTAGGCATTCCCTCCATAACACGCACAGACATTTCCCCTTACTTTCTAGGAGGAAAAAAGTGAGTGTTATGGTGCAAAAAATACGGTATATTCCATTGGTTCTGAGAGCAGGGTCTCAAACTCAGGCAGGCCGCATCCCAGTTCTTGCTCACTCAGTCCTTTGGCCTTTGTGGTTAACTAAATGATCTCCATTACCCTGACTAACAGCAGACTCCTTAGCAGGTCCACACAGAAGTAAGTCTTACTGAATTCGGTGGGGCATCCCTCTTAGATAAATGGGGCTAGGATTGCAGCCCATGGTGGTTTTGTGTTAGCAGAATCATTTATGTTGGTGTCAGGTGAGGCATCCTATTTTCACCCAAAGGAAAGGAGAAAAATCGCAATATGCTATATGGTATTTTATTCAGAAACAAGCCCAGTGCATTTCAGCCTTGTATATTTTAGACCTTCATGAGGGTCAGAATGCAAAGTTGAAACCAGCTGCAGAGCTCTCTGATAACAGAAGCATTTCTTTTTCTTGTTGTTGATTGATTCCCTTTGTGGGTCTATTTTGGATGCTGAGTTATTGATATTTATCCCATTTTCACTCTCTCCTCTGGGCCATATCTCATACTCTTCCAAATGGCTCACCAACCTTTAGGAGAAGCTTCTTAGAGGCATTGGGTGGGTGGGTGGGTGGTGCAAATTGGGTAGAAGAGATCAGCAAAAAAGAGGTGCCCTGCCTTGCACAAAGGGGGGGGGTGCCTCTGTGCATTTAAAGCCACTACTGGATAGAACCCCAAGAGCAGAAGACTCTTGGGCCTCAAGCTTATCTTTCTTTTTAAAGCAATGCACAGAAACTAAAACAAAGCTATACTTGCTGGGGGAAGAGGAATCTTGTTTTCATGCTATGGTACAATGGCAAAAGAGTACGGTCGCTATCGATACATTGACCTGGGTGTGGTGGGGGAACATCACAGCATCACATTGTTAGGCAGCTAGCTTGGAGGAGGGCTGGGGAGGCGGCTCCTCTGCTCCTGGTCTGCTTCAGGACGCTGGATTAGATGGGCCAGGGGCCGGATCCAGAGGCTCTTCTTATGTTAGTTATAATAAGAACAATATTGGTTTGAATTGTATGCAGCTGCTTATGACTACAAGTAACTATTTCAACCTTTTCCTCCAGCAGAGGCAGGCATTTCTGTGGAGGTTCATTAATAAAGGAAGACTGGGTCCTGACAGCAAAACAATGTTTTCCTTCTCGGTAAAGTAACTTTTTATTACTACACAGTTAGTGTAGAAAAATAATTTTATTCTTTAAGAGCTTGTGGTAGAAATCTCTCTGTTGCAACCTAGCCCTCTTTGTATAACTATAGCCTTTATAAAGTTGTATTCTGCAACAATTATGCTTTTCATATCATTAATATTACCACACAATTGATTTACCTAGGTGGTGAGGCGGAGAATACCCAAAAGTTCTATTCCGTTTAGTCAAGAATCTAGATGCAGCTTGGAGCTTTCCAAGAATTTGACCTTGTAGCCATAAACTACTTTGGCAATTGCTCTTTGAAATGTGTTGTACTTACGTTAAGCTGTAATCGAAACCAGGAAATGTAGATTAGGGTATGTGAAAATAAGAAATAAACAAGCCCCATCCTCCACAAAAAGAATTAGTTTACAGTTTTCTGCTGGTTCTTATTATCCCAAATCTATTCCCTAGCAGATTGCATCAGTCACAGTTTCAGTGGTTTACTGCATTTGAATATGTATTTAGAATTTATACATTCAGAATACCACGTTAGACATTTTTTGTCACATTGTTAACAGATTTTAAGTAAAGCAACAGAATTTTATAATGTAAAAAAAATCATGTATTAATGTGATTAGTGTTGCTGGACCAACAAACAAATGGTTCATAGAATCCCAGATTCTAGTCCAGCCCCCTGCAATGCAGAAATCTCAGCTAAAGATTCAGATGAGCTCTTTCAAAAATCTCTTGCAGTTTTAAACTTCATTTGTTCTAAATATTTGCCATTTCCTTTGTGTAATAATACAAATTCCATTTCAACCAACAGAAATGAGAAGTGCTTTTATTTGAAATGGGCAATGTTCAGCCTAGGTTGGTCTATCAGAGTGAATGGGGCACTTCCCCACAGTCGCGTTGCAAGGGGCGGGCGGTGCACCCCGGGTGCCATGTCTGGGAGGGGGGTGACAAGAAGGCACCCCGTGGGGTGCTCGCCCCACCGCCCCCGGGCGCGGCGGCCCAAGCAACCATCACACCGCCGCAGCTGCATGTGGAGGATCCTCCGTTCGTGGCTGCAGCCCAAGCAGAGGATCCGCACCGTCCGACAGCATTTAGCGGCGCCGGAGCAAACACTACATACATGCATGCGCTGTGTCGCACGCAGCACCGGTATCTAGCGACTCACACATGCCAGCCAGTGGTTTGCCATGCCCAGGTGGCGTAGCTTCGTTCCGCCTATTCCCACCAACCTTAACTGTCCTAGCCAACCCACCTGCCTACCTTCTTACTTGCAACCTGTTCAAGAGTGCAATTGCTGTCATTCCGAAGAGAGGGGGCAGTGGTGCTCGCAGACGAATATTCTTCTGCAGTTTTTCTCTGCACGCATGCACCGGTATGCGTCTAGCGACTCCGATCACATATGCGCAGCGCAGTGCGTTTGCCATGCCCCAGGTTCGTCGGTTAGCCTTCGTTGCACCCTCCTGAATTCCCCCAACCAAGCTTAATCTGGTCCTTATGCCGAACCCCCACCTTGCCCATACCGTTCTTTGGGGACTTGCAACGCGTGTTTCCCAGCAGACGTGGCAGATTGCCTGTTCAAGGCTTCTTCTCCAGATAACGAGAGGGGGTACCTAGAACCTGCATCTTCCTGTAATTAATACAGAGGATTCTGGGAAACTTCTGGGTCAGGCAGCTGAGACGGCAGTTGACACACTTGCATTTTGACATCAAATAGATTGGCCAATGGTGTAAAACAACAACCCCGATAAGCAAGTAGGAAGGACTAAGGACTAGAAGACTAAATTAAGTAGGGATGCAGGGAGTATTGGACCACAATCGAAGAGGCTCAACAGCACACCGTGGTCTTTCAAACTGACAAAGTGTTTTCATATTGTAGTCATATTTAGCCCTGGGCAGGCAAGTCAGCGGTCTGATTTGCACAACACTTTAAACCATAGTGATAATAATAGTAATAATAAGTTATTATTTAGACCCCTCCCATCTGGCTGGGTTTCCCCAGCCACTCTAGTGAAGCTTGGCTATAGTTGAAAGATGCACACACAGCATTCTGGTGCATGGGGTGAAAATCATGGCTGCTGCTACCCTCCTCCTTCCATTCCTACTGCTGCCACACTGCTTGGGAGATAAACCATTGTTTGGCTTGTGGTATTTATCTTCTAGAACAAAGCAAAAGCTGTAACCAAGGTTTTGTTTTTGGCTTACTGTCCGTGGCTGGTTTGAAGGAAACAAACCATGAGCTTGGATTCAGATACAGTGCTGAGCCAAACTGTGACTTGGCTCCTGGCAGTGTAGCAGGGGCATGGGAAGAGTGAAGCAGCCATGATTTTTGCTCCATGCATCACCACGCTGCACAATTGAACCACAATTAAAGGTTTGAATTCTGCCCATGGTAAACTGATCCAGAGAGCGTAAAGCCACTAGCCCACTCCAAGTGTTGATTGATTTGGACAGAGAACCACATACAAAGTGCCATTGAATTTTCCTTCCTTAGGTATAATCTCAAAGACTATCAAGCATGGCTTGGAATTCATAATGTTGAAAGAGCACATGAAGAGAAGCATAAGCAAGTTCTGAATATCTCCCAGCTGGTATATGGTCCCAAAGGATCAGAATTGGTATTGCTGAAACTTTCCAGGTCAGTTGTAATCATGCTTTGTTCTTTGCAGGTTTGTCTTGACAGTTGTGCATTTCTTAGATGGCAATAGACTTTGCTACTGTATAGAATGTAATTCCCAAGTAAAGTGACCAGAAAACTTGCTTGCAATGACTACCTGTGGATTTTCCCAATTATTTTTTTGAATATATTTGTTCTGAAAGATTTAGTCAGCTACTGTCATCAACAACACTTGATCTTAACCATCTGCTAACTGGGTCCTGCTGAAATGTGCATTCATTTTAAGTTCTGTCTCATTGATTCACTGTTGAGGCGATTACACAATAATTGCACATTGCACATCACAACATGTTCTCCTTCATGCACTTGTGAAAATGTCCTCAAAACAATAATTCCAGAAGGCAATTCCACTAGGCAGATCCCAAAAAGAAATCCATGGACAATAAGCAGGTAGAAAAATGTGTCATTTTCCTGAAAAGAATCCCAGTTCATGAGTTCTACTCAAGTTATGCCAGCTGATGGACAGTAGCAGGGATGGGGAACCTCCCCTCCCCCTCTGCCACAATGGCCACATGCCCTCATGGGCATCCTACCTGGCGGTGCTGTCAGGGGCTGGAGTCAGGACGAGGTCAGCAATCAAAAACACAGGTGTCCGTGAAGTTAAATATTTGTTCAAAGAAACCAAAACAGCACAGGCTTAGTGATCACAAGAACTCTGACTAATGAGGCATCTGCAAGGACTGAAAGTCCCCACCTTCCCACTGTTCTCTAAGGCTCCTTCCCAGGTTCCTTCCCCAGCAACCTAAGGCTCTGTTGTCTTGTCTCTTTGCTCCAATCAACGGTGGCAACTTGAATAAAATATTGGGGGGGGGGAGGTAAGCCCCGCCCCATGTAATCAATCGCATGACATGGCACACACACACAAATACCATTTGAATGGCAATGCCCATGAACGTCGGGGGCCCTGTCCCCTCAAATATTTTATTGGTGGGAAGTCTGAAGGCCCCTCAGCCCCTAGGAGTTGGCTCCTATGGCTCCAATGCAAATAGGGATGTCCTGTTATCCCCTCTAACATTTCTCTGATGAAAATAGGGATGTGCTAAGGAAAAGCAGAACATTCCAGGATCAAATCAGAAACCAGGGTGGCTCCTGTAAATCTGGAACTGTCCCTGGAAAACAGGGGCACTTGGAGGGTCTTCATGTCAAGAAATTTGCCGTAGAACTTTCAGTCTGTGGGCTTCAAAAAACAAATTCTAGAATATATCTTAAGTCCTTTTGCTGAACTTTAAACTTTTTGAAAAGTTGCAAGTACATGTCTGTTCACTTGATCTGGCTATTGAAATGGTTGTGAACATGAACTCTGTTTTAAGAATAAGTATACACCTGTCTTTATATAATCTCTTCCCAGGCCGGCAGTAAGCAGTGATGCTGTGGCTATCATCAGGCTGCCCATTTCTGGATGCACTATTCCGGAAGGCACCACTTGCACGGTTTATGGATGGGGACATACAGGAAGTAAGAGCTTTTAGTCTGAAGTAGCACATGCATTGGGCTGCTGATAGCCACCTGGGCTCCCAGTTTGTGTGGGTCCATGTATTATAGGAGGATCCTACTCAGTGTTTTTTTTCTGGGGGTACACATACCCCGAAACATTTTGTGAATCTAAGTTTGGCCCCATTGAGGAGCAGCATTTCAATATGAGTAGGAAAATGAGAGGACCCCTAAACATTTTTTTTTTAGAAAAAAAAAGCACTGGTCCTGCTTTTTTAAAAATTAACACTGATTAGGATAGAGTCCCTGCTGCTAAAAGTGAAATGATGAGGCCAATCTGAAGGTTCCCACGGGGTGTGGGTGTGTGGAGAATAGAAGGGGTTTTGAGGGAAGCAAAAGGAGTTTTCCAGAAAGCTACCAAAATTTCCCTGGGGATTCCAGTCACCTCTAGTGTATATGTGATTATGCAAAGCAGCAGCAACAACACAGAGATGACCAAATGGTTGTCTTCTTTATCGTACTTTAAAAGGTTGGCCCATATTTTTCCTCCCAAACTGTTGTCTGGCCTCTACGTAAGAATAGCCTGCTAGATCAGGCCAATGGCTCATCTAGAGTTCCTCCACCAGACCTGGACTTCCAGCATGACATTCAGTGCTGGAGAGAGGGAGACGTCATCCGTGGCACATGCGCCTTGTTTGATGTGGCTTCCGCTGCACCACCTGCCTCATACTAACACTTGAAATTTTTGATTAACTAACCCACCAGTAGGGGGAAAGTATGGCAGGTTGTGATTTAGTTGTGTGTGTGGTATGGAAAAATCAGTTTTGCTGCGCTCCTGGCATTTATCAGGTGTCATCAGGAAGCAGATCAGTTAACTTGATTTTATTTTCTGCTTAGCTTTTAATTACCATATATACTTGAGTATAAGCTGACTTTTTCAGCACATTTTTATGCTGAAAAAGCCCCCCCCCTCAGCCGATACTCGAGTGAGGGTCCTTTCGGGCTGCTCCTTCCTCCTCCTCCGCCTTTGCCGCTGTTGATGGTGGCGGCGGAGAAACAAGCAGCCCTTTCGGGCTGTTTGTTCTCCCTCCACCGCCACCGCCATAACCCGGTTTGTGGTGTGGTGAACCAGCTTATACTCGAATCAACAAGTTTTCCCAGTTTTTTGTGCTAAAATTAGGTGCCTCAGCTTATATTCGGGTCAGCTTATACTTGAGTATATACGGTAAGCATATTGTTCTGGTACCTAGTCAAATGGCTTCAGTGGAATTGCTTTTGAGGAAATGGTTTTAGAATTACAACTTTATTAGACTTAGTCTGATTTATGCCTCATGGTAACATCTCTCTCAAAATGTGCATTAATTATTTTTATTTTTTTAGCAAAGTCAAACTCTGTGTTATGCTTCTTTATTTGAACCACTATAGCATCCATATTTGGGAACTTGTTTTTTGTTAGAAAAACATGATCATTGTTGAAGAGAGAGCAAACAACAGCATATTCTCATTTCTGCTTTTGGGTTTCAGATGCACCCTTTGATGGGAGACTTCGAGAAGCAAATATGATCATCATGGGAAATGAGCGCTGCAGTCAAGATTCTGGAACAAATATAGTTGTGAAAGAGTCAGAAATGTGTGCTAAGGCTGAGAGCATTGGCAGTGGAACTTGTGAGGTACAATTCTGTTGGCTTATTTACTTATATCCTACCTGCCTTCATGGATTTCCAGGAATCTCTTTCTACCCATTTTATCTTCAAAACCATACTCTGATATTGGTCAGGTTGAGAGATGATAACTAGCTGGATGTTACCTACTGGGCTTCACAGCTGAGAAGGGATTTGAACCTTGATCTCTCTAGTCCTAATCACACTCTTGAACCTCTACACAACATGGGCTCAATGTAAAAAATGTTAGAAATCTGTAGAATAGGATCTTACATCTTCTTGAATCACACTCTTGAACCTCTACACAACATGGGCTCAATGTAAAAAATGTTAGAAATCTGTAGAATAGCATCTTACATCTTCTTCCCTAGAGTTGTAATATTAAAAAACTGAAATTGGAGGCAAGCAATTGCTGAAGTTCTTCTTACTAGAGTACTTGGGTCCACACCCAATCAGAGCCTGTTTTGATGCTGAACCCTAATAAGAATCGCTTAGCCTATATTTTGATAGAATTAGTTACATAGGTACATAATGTTCTAGCACCAATGAAATTAGTGAAAGCTTTGCCTTTGATTTCAGTGGAGCAAGTTTAAATTGCAATGAGGCATTTTTCTTATAACCTGTTGAATGGACTAGGATGGTCAGTCACCTGACGACACACATCAAGATCTTGTAAGGCATATATGAGATAGTTTTTACTTTTTGCTCTGTAACAATATAGGTATCCCTCTATTTATTTTGTTCTTTTTTTCTTTCCTGTCTTTCTAGCGGGATTATGGTGGTCCATTGGTCTGCGAGCAAAACAGAAGTAAATTAGTAATGGGAGTGATCATTCCTGGGCGTGGATGTGCAAATCTCAGGCGACCTGGGATTTTTGTCAGGGTGGCCTACTACACCCGATGGATACATAAAATCTTAATGACGTTCAAATCATAGCTGAACATTCCAGCCAAGAAAGCAAATTCCAGTTGTTGGAACATTTTGGGAAGGAATGAAATCAAAGTGTAATTGAAAGTTCTTTGATTCTTTAAACAAACAGCAACCATCACGTACTGCTTGATAGTCAAGTTTTGCTGATATTTATGGATATTTCTGTCATGTTGTGTCTGTCGGTGCGTTATATGAACTGTAGTTTAAGCAAGTATGGTGACCTATTTCCTGATAATACTTGAATGGGAAAGCAGAATTTCAAAATGTGAGTGCTGGATGAAGATGGGTTCTGTGGAATTAGAATGCCCAATTTCTTATATGCTGCTGGTTACGTCAGCTGGTTGATGAGACATGAAGATAATTTGAAATTTACAATATTTTTCCATACTTATGTAAGCCTCTTAATACTTCTTTAGGACAATGATAAATGCATGCATCAGCCAGAATTGATTCTTTCTCCTACTAAAAGCAAAATGGAATTATATTTCAATCCCCTTTGTAAACAGTTGCTTGGATTTATAACCCAGTTTAGTTCCATAAGCTACAATATCTGATTTTGGAGGGAATCACTTGCACAAACTGTTTATGGGATTTCACTGTATGTTCTCAGTTTTACACTCTTAAAAAAGAAAAGAAAAACCCTAAATTAATAGGGATGCCTAGAAGATGTTTGATAACAATTTATAAGCCATTATTACTATTGTATTTTTGAACTAATTAGGTTTTCTATACATATTTGCAATAATCTAGAGGGGTCAATGAATGGGTTCCAACAAGCAAAAAGCAGTGTATTTTCTCTCAGTGGGTGGGCAGGGATCCACTAATTGTTTGTGCCTAGTGGAGCTCTTGATGTGCTCCTTGAGTAATATCTACCATACTATGTAGAAAGTCACTTTGGATCCTAGAGGTCTTTCAAAAAGCAATTTGTGCTGAGGTGGGGAGTTTTGTATTCAAAGGAAAGAGGGAGACACAAATCCTAGTAGGTCTGCCCAGTACAAGCTCCTAATACACCAGCCATGTTATTTGGGGGGCACACCTTGCTCCCAGTGGTCTTACTCTGCATCATAATGGCTTATTGAGATGAAACTACATGTTTCGCCTCTGCCTCATGTCTTTAAAGGTTAGACACTGCTTCTCCATTGCAGTGTATGGCTCTGTTATTAGCAGCAGGAAAAAACCTGAAGGTTGTGTAACCTTCCGAACAATATCTCTCAAAGGTTCCTCTCCCACAACCGTAATAGACAGATGAGCCCTAATTGCCCATTGAAAAATGTCTCTTACCTCAGGGATACTAGCTGTTCAAGTGAAACTGAGGAGGTGATCGACTCCTCATTCCCTTTACTGTTCTTTGTCACCTAGCTAGCATATCAATAACTGATATTGCCAAGCAAATGAGTGACCTACCACATCCCAAAAACCCAGTTCCTATTGTTCAAGGCATAGCTTGCGGGGTGTGGTTGTGATTCCACTACCAGCCCAACCCCACACTTGGCACATAAAAAATAACTAAGAATGCAGTTTGTCCCTTTGTGTGGCTTGATAATGAAAAATATTAAGAATTAACAGGATGGTAAGAAAAGCAACCACTTATTATAATGCTATAATCTATAATATAATGATGTTATTAAAAAAATAAGTGCACCAGACTTGCATTTTAACACTCACACAATACAAGTAATACCCATTTTTCTTACATAAATAAATAAATAAATATCATAGGTTCACAGTGAGGTGTAAGACAATGACATCACTTTCTGTGTGTGCACAGAAAGCGACGGGTTAAAGGCTAACATAATCACCTCAACAGTGAATCAATGAGACAGAAGTTAAAATGAATGCACATTTCAGTAGGATCCAATTAGCAGACAGTTAAGATCAAGTGTTGGTGATGACAGTAGCTGACTAAATCTTTCAGAACAAATATCATATTCGAAAAACTCTTTAAAAATAATTGGGAAAATCCACAGATAGTCATTGCAAGCAAGACTGCTTCATAAAGAGAGTACAGTGGTGCCCCGCAAGACGAATGCCTCGCAAGACGGAAAACCCGCTAGACGAAAGGGTTTTCCGTTTTGGAGGTGCTTCACAAAACGAATTTCCCTATGGGCTTGCTTCGCAAGACGAAAATGTCTTGCGAGTCTTGCCATTTTTTTCCGCTCCCCCCCCTTTTTCTAAGCCGCTAAGCCGCTAATAGCCTTTTAGCAGCTTAGCCACTAATCCTTTAATAGCCACTAAGCCGCTAATAGCGCTAATCCGCTAAGCCGCTAATGGGGTTGCTTCGCAAGACGAAAAAACCGCTAGACGAAGAGAATCGCGGAACGGATTCTTTTCGTCTTGCGAGGCACCACTGTATACAAGCAGACTATGGGGCAATTCAGTGCTTGGTTTGCTTGCAGTGAATTTTGCCACCATCCCTAGTTTAGTTATCCAGGATAAGCAGTAAATTTTCTATACAGAATGGAATTGCAGAATGCATAGAGCTGCATTTAGCAGCTTTGAAAGTATCTTCACATTTAAAATGGATCTGCATGTCACTTCAGTGTTCAAAAATCTGTTTGTCATAGTCACACTTAAAAGTAATTCTCCAAACACGTGGAAAATAGGATGTGTGAAGCAGACCTTATTTGCCTGAACACTATTCTCCTTAGTAGCAGATCAAGAAAACAAAATATAATATATGTGGGGCTTTTGTTTCCTTCTGCTGTCTTTTAGGTAAAAATGTTTATAATTACGCAAGAGAACTTTAAATAGAAATAATGAATTTTTTAAAACCTATACAAATATAAAATGGGGCATGAATTATGAAAATGGAATTTCTGAATTTGGTGTGCATGCACACAGAGAGACAGACATGAAATATAGTATTAACATGCATTTTTGAGACTTGTACGCCTGAATTGGGATCGGACCCAACCCATAAACCGTTAACCAACCTATATAAATCCAATTGCTTCAATTTAACAGGGTTATGAAGTTGTAAGATATTGTGAAACTCTTTCCCTAGAAACTTTCTGGGTTATATCCAACAAAAAACTGTGTAAGTGGAACAACTTCTGGTTGTGCAAGAGAACTTCTCTCCCTCTCCTCCCCACACATGCTCCCCATATGGTCTCAAGGGCTGGGGGAACCCCTAGACCAGATTTCGGAAAGCAGGAGATGCCATGCAGAGGGAAGAGAAGGAGGGAAGGTTCTGCTTGTGCCGTGACTTGGTTGACCGATAGACCTGCCAGACACAAGCAGAGAATGGGGGGCTATAATGAAAATGTCAATCACTTTGCATTTCTATCAAGATTTATGTACGCTATGTATTATACATGCAGGCATTTTGTATTCTGTATGCAAACATTTTGTTCAGTGTAATAAAAGTGATTCTAAAATATTATAAACTTCTGCTGTGCAGAAGACAATACAACTATAGATATATAGATATACGAATATATGTGGGAGTGGGTGGGTTATACATGTAAGGCTTTCGAAAGTATTTGTTTTCAGTGAAGTCTCAGTAGAATGAATTGTACAGAGTCTATAATTTAGAACTTAATACTTCTGTAAGCTCTTGCCTATCAGGCTTTTGATTTTTTTTTTGTTCGGTGGGGCTCATTCACACAGAATCTTTTCTGTCCTGATCATCTCCTGGTATGCACGCATGTGGATAAATGTAGTATATCGACCAGGCAGTTGTCGTGTACAGTCTGTAAATTGTTTTGATCCCCTCTAATTCAGGCAACCAAGGCCATCAAACATAAAGTGTGCTTTGGTCTGGAGCCTGCATGGTTTCATAGGCTTTGCACATTACAGTTGGGACTGTTAATGACTGACTGGAGCAGTTCAAACAGCACCCAGCCTTGTGGCTCCTGGTGCAAGCTGTTGTCGTGTAATGCAGTCAGTTGCAAACAGTGTGATTGACTACTGCACTGTGCAGCCTTTGGCTCTCAGGTGTGCCAGTAATTTCTGGATCTAAGGGAGGGAAGTGCTGCACAAGAGAGAATGCAAATCATGTGCAAACCTAACTGGATTTTGTATTATTTTTACAAACAGCTGATCACCTCCTCTCAAATCACAGGCCATGCAACAGTAGAATTTTAAAACTGCCCTCCATTTCGAAGAGAGTTTGCTGTGAGGCTGTTGTTCAAAAAAAAAAAAAAAAGCAAGCCAAAAGAGGCTTTGTGCTTCCTGAGATCATTATCTGTCTGCCCCATGAGTCTGGTTTAAGGATGAGAAAGTGGTGCCCCGATACATGGCATTTAACCCATTTCCCTGGTCTAAATCCTCCCCTCTTTCAAGCCGGTCTGGGGGTGGGGGGAGCCATAAGTTTGGCCTTGTTTTTCACATGGTTCAGCAAGTACCTGGAGATGGATGTTCAAGAAAGCTTAATTGAAGGGATGGGGGGGGGGAAGTGTTTTAATTGGCCCTTGGCCTTTTCCTTTTGCTAGTGTTGGAATCTGAAAAACAAATCTAGGGAAACGGAACAGCTTCTTTGCACAAAGGGCAAAGAGTTTGTGCATCATTTATTCCTGTGGATATTGCTTGTTGGTACCCATGGTACTTCACCATGCAAGTGTTACAATTGCAGAACTATTGCTAAGAAGGACACTGTCAAGGAATTATGTAATTAGTAACCGTTCTTTTTCTACTATACCTCGACAACTGATGGAAAGCTCGTCAAGTGAATAACAAGTTTTCCTCATCAGTCCTGGCAGTGTAGACTACAAAGCAGGTTTCAGTTGTGTCAGTTGTTTCCTTTCTGGTGTATGTATATATATATATATATTATTTTGGATTGTGTATTTGCTATTTTATTATTGTGATGAAACTCTCTCATTGAGCTTTGGAGTGTGCAGTACAACTTAGGGCAGATCTCAACTTTACGAGAAACATGAAGCGTCCAGCAACAAAAATGACAGCCTGTGTCAATTGCCTTCTTTCCCCTTAGTAAACTGAATACAACTTGCCCCATGTTCCCGTCCCCTTGTGGCTTAAATGATGTCAGGGCATGGTTGAGTAGAACAAGACGCTATAAACAAAGAAGAGGGAACTCATCTCAGGGCTGCAGTTGCCAGTGGGCAGCTCTGTGCTCCTTGGAATACGTAATCTTTTAATCTGTGGATATTATCATTCTGTAAAAAAACATGGTGGGGCTATTGACATGAACAGATATTGGAAAAATAGGGCACATACTTTTTATTTGAGGTCAAAATCATAACTGAGCATTCATTGCTTGAAATTCATAGATGTGTTTTGTGTGTGGAACTGGGCTTGGAAGATGCAGAAGATGAATAGCTTTTCCCAAAGGGGGGGGGAGGAATAGACATTTTCATTTATTTCTTTGTTTTTGTATTGGTTTTACTATTCACACTGCTTCAGGTGGTATTTAGAAAGCAGAGGTTTTTGCTTGCTTGCATTTACATTAGTGGGATTGTAGTGTCCTTTCTAACAAAAATATGAAAGATTATGGTCAGCTCATCCCCTGGGAAATCAATAGATTTCAGTTTATTTGATTTATGATTATATATTTTGCCATATTAAAAATGTTCTCTCCCCCCCATGTTTGCCAGTATATTATTGATTTGTGAATGTTGGCCTGTTGGTGAAAGGAGCCATGTTATTTCTTTTAAAAGTCATTATTGAGTGTCACTCCACTTTTAAATGGATCACAGTTTAACTTTCCTTCAATATTTTCCTCTATTCATAGATGCTGCCTGTTGATGTTAGAAATCTGTTTAACACTATGGTTCTGACTTTACAATAATTCTGTAACTAAGGGCAACTTCACTAGCCATTAAAGTTGGTATTTTTGTATCTTTATTATTATTAATAAAATATTTTATCAAAAAGCTGTGCATGCCATTTATCTGAACATTATTCAAAAACTTACAGGTTGAGATGAAAGAGCAAGAAAATTGTGCTTGTCATTTTATATTCTTCCAAGCTGGTGCAGCAGCTGTATTGACTGTGCTTGGAAGAATCCAATTTACTGGTGCCCATAGTGAAGTTGTTACTTTCATCTTGGACAGTGGTGTTATTGCAGTTGATATTTCTCATACAGTTGATTTGTGCGTAGAGAAAGAACCAAGACGGCAGCAGTGGTAGTTCCTGTTCTGCCTGAGATGTTGCACCAGCTCACTTCAGTAAAGTTTGAGGATGGTGGCCTGAATCCCGGGGGGGGGGGGGAGGATATCAACTAAGTTTTGAAATGAACTGTGTCTTATTCCAAATTTACCATTTGTATTGTTTTCTTTATGAAACCCATACAGGCTATAAGAGCCTCCAAACCCTGAAAGTCAAGGAGAACACCATATAAATGAATTATAGTGACGCACATTCAAGTTGCAGATTTATTAGGACCCCTTCTGACATTAGTGTTGTGGCTGGGAGCCATTGCAGTGTTGCTCCTTCTGTGATTAAAAGCTAGTGATGTAAGAATGCACAATTTCTGTTCCAACCTGCGTTCCTCACTTGCAGCACTGTCTCCATTCCGCTGCAGTTTGGTTTCCCACAAAAGCCATGTTATTCGTCTTGCTGTCTGCTGTGGCAGAATCAAATTATTACATTATTCCACACCATTCATTCCAATGCAAAAGGAATGCAATGCAAATGAGATGGAGGGAATGTCATGAACTATGTATCTTTTGTAGACAGTGAATACCAATCATATTTGCTGGATTTATTTCCATTCTGGACTTGTGATGAATAAGGGAACACCAGCAAACTCCACCAGAATTCTCCATCATCCCTGTTCTAAGGACTCAGCTATACAGCTGCAAATACAACATTTTAAGTGCATTATACAAATGTGACACTAGATGGCGATGGTAAGCTAATGGCAAATTCAATATATATTTAAAAACCTTTTTTTAAAAAAGCATTTTCACAGCGTTTTTTTGTGTAGATTCAGGCTTGGTAACATTTGAAAACACAGAAATGCTATCTTCCCTTCCCGCACCAATGCAGCTCCAGGAAGAACCAATCTTGCCACTAGAAGGTGCAAAATGAACTACTCTCACTTCAGACTTCCACTGTCAACCCTAGAAACACGTGAAGAGTCAAGTTGTCACCATGATCTTTGGATGAAGAGCAGTGTATAAATT